ACTTGCCCTGTGTTCTTGGCACCTATCCCAAAGAACACCTCATTTATGTTAGCAATTCAAGCTCACTGCTTTTCCTGAGAAGGGTCCGTTCCTTGACTAGGGTTACTTGCACCTTTGAAGAAGCTGGCTTGTCTGGTACATCATGCTTCTTAGTTAAATGGGGACAGCAAGTAAACCATCAAAAGCATCTTCAAAAGTCTTCATGAAATAGGACAAAGTTAACTCTAAGTGCCAAACTGGGAGAAACAGGGATTAGTTTGTTTCTCTCCTGCTCTTTAAAAGTCCAACTATTTTGAATGGTTAGCAAGCATTTTCCAACAATCAAAACACTGGGCCGGAAACATAGCTAGTAGTGAAGCTACTAACTAACATGGCTCCCTACAATGGCTTCCTGGGATGGCAGTTCTCATACCTGCCTATGGTATTTTAACTTTCATGAAGATAGATGGAAACAAATGCCACCTTCTTGCCAAGCCTCTCTGGCACGGGTATAGCAAATTGCTTTACCAGCTGAAATGGGACGTAAGTGAGGGAGGACTCTAGAAACTATTCAGAACCTTGACATTTTGCTATTTTATAATGCCCATCAGCCACGGCTCACTGTCACTCTCCATGAGATTTATAACAGTGACGGTTACAGCACTTCTACAACAGTGCTCTCTTAGTTACTATTATGAATTGGGAAAGAGAGTTTTGAAGCATGTCTCCCCGAGGTCCCTTAAGCACTGATACACCAAGCAACAGAGATGCAACCAACTCCTAATAATGCTACTTTCCATTTTACAGAGACAATTTAAGGGAAATGAATATATAATGTATATATATCACATGTTGTTGTAAGTGCTGTCCAGATGGTTCCCACTCATAGCAACTCAGTATAGGGTTTCCAAAGAGCGGCTGGTGGGTTTGAGGCACTCACCTCTTGGTTAGCAGTCCAGTGCTTATCCTATAGCACCTCACTAGGACTTCACACTTTACATAAAAATGTTTATGTGAGAAAAATGTTTCTGAGCTAATTTGTAATATTCATTGGATGTGGAGTTGCTGTCGTGAAGTTACCATTGAGTCAGTTCTGACTCATGTTGGCCTTATGTAGGGTTTCCAAGGAGGGGCTGGTGGATTTGAACTACTGACCTTTAAGTTAGCAGTCCTGTGTTTATCCTACACTGCCACACCAGAACTCCAGATGTGGAGTGGTGGTGGTGGTTATAGCGACCCTGTACAGGGTTCCCGAGGCTGTAAATCTTTATGGGAGCAGAAAGCCTCATCTTTCTCCGACAGAGCAGCTGGTAGTTTCGAACTGCTGGCTTTGTGGTTCGGAGCCCGATTCATAACCACTATGCTACCCGAGCTCCTTTCCAGATGTGGAGTAGAGACATCATAAGAATGGCACTCAGCAAAGTTTATCTAACATCACTTGGTTCTAGAAAGGATCAGATTCTCAACAAGGGACAATGATGGTCTCCACATTTTAAGATGAGAATTATGCCCCAAAGGAGCAAATTCTTTCACCTAGTTAAGATTCTTTGGTAGAATGCATTTTATTAAGAACAGTGAATTTCTATAACTAGAATCATACTTTAGAAACATTTCTTAAAACTCACTTTAAAAAAAAAATTAAGATTTTATAAATCAGATGGTTATATTTAGTGGCTTGGTCAGTGTATTCTCTTCAATAAGCAGTCTCTCCCACCCATTTTTTCTATTTCTTCCTGTATGTTGTTGTTAAGTGCTATCGAATTGATTTCGACCCATAGCGACCCTGTACATGGTTTTCCAAGGCTATAAATCTTTACAGGAGCAGAAAGCCTCATCTTTCTCCCACGAAACGGCTGCTAGTTTCGAACTGCTGACCTTAAGATTCATAGCCTGATTCGTAACCACTACACTAAAAGCAAGATCTATATCAAAGGTATACATCCATACCTTTGTTTATATGAAAAGGCTGTCTCATTACTTTTCACCTGTACCACAGCTGTTGCTGTTTTTAAGTTCTGTGAGGTGCTCCCTGTGCTCAACAGAACAAAGCACTGCCTGGTCCCGCACCAACCTCACAGTCATTACATATTTGTTCCTGCCAATGCGTAAATCCATCTTGTTGGCCGTATGCCTCTCCTTCACGGATCCTACACTTTAAGGAATATGATGGCTTCTCCAGGAACTGCTATCGCTTGAAAACAGGACCCAATTACATGAGAAGAAGTCGCACCATCTTTGCTTCTAAGGAGTATCGGGTTTTCTTTTTTTTGGCCAAATTTGTTCATTTTTATGAGAGTACATGATATATTCACTATTCTTCACCAATATCCTAATTCATGGGCATCAATTCTTCTTTGGTCTTAATTCATTACACAGCTTTTGCATGCATATAAAACTATTGGAAATACCATGGCTTGGGTCAGGTGTACCTAGTCTTCAAAGTAACATCTTTGTTTTCTAACATTTTTAAAAGGGCTTTGGTTTTTCATATTTGCTCAGTGCAATGTTGTTGTTGTCTGTTACTTAGTGCCGTCAAACCAGTTCTGAATCATAGCGACCCTGTAGAGGGTTTCCAAGGAGCAGCTAGTGGATACGAACCACTGGCCATTCAGTTCAAACCAACCTTGCAGTACAGAGCTAATCCTATAATGCCATACCAGGTCTCTGCTCAGCGCAATATACCCTTTGATTTCTTGACTGTTGCTTTCATGGACGTTGACTGTGGAGCCAAGTAAACTGAAATCCTTGACAACTTCAGTCTTTTCTCCATTTATCATCATGTTTCTTATTGGTCCAGTCGTGAGGATTTTTTTCTTTTTTAATGTTGATGTGTAATCTATGTACTAAATGAAGTCTTTAATATTCATTAGTAAGTGTTTCAAGTCCTTTTCTCTTTAAGCAATCAAACTGTGTTACTTGCATATTGCAGGTTATTAATGAGTGTTCCTCCAATCCTGATGCCAGGTCCTTTTTCATATAATCCAGTTTCTCGAATTCTTTGCTCACTTACAAACTGAATAAGTGTGATGAAAAAATTCAGGCCCAACTCACATCTTTCCTGATTTTAAACCACAAAGTATTCCCACGTTCTGTTCAAATGACTGCCTCTTAGTCTACAGTTTCCACATGAGCACAATTAAGTGTTCTGGAATTTCCATTCTGCATAACATTATTCACAATTAGTTATGATCTACACAGTCAAATGCCTTTCCATAGTCAATAAAGCATCTTTCTGGTATTTTCTGCTTTCAGCCAAGATCCACCTGATGTCAGCAATGATATTCCTTGTTCCACATCCTCTTCTGAATTCTGCTTGAATTTTTGGCAGTACCTGTTAATGTATTCCCTGAACCATTTTTTAATGATCTTCAGCAAAATTTTACTTGTGTGTTATAAAAAAGATTGAGTGATAATTCCACATTCTTTCAAGTATGGAACTCTTCAGAATGACTGGCCAGGTAGCTGTCTTCCAAATTTCCGGAGAAAGAAATGTAAGTGCTTCCAGCATGCATCTTTGTTGAAACATCTCTGTGGGAGTCCATTAATTCCTGGATCCTTGTTTTTCTAGGAACTGATAGGATACCAATTGAGACATTTTAAAGCTTCCTTTTAAATCACTGGGTCTTAATCACATTCTACTTCCTGAAATGACTGAGTACCAACCAATTCTTTTTTGTACAGTGGCTGTGTATTCCTCATAATCTTCTTTTGATACTTTCTGTGTCATTTAATATTTCCTTATTGCAAATTGAGACAATTTTTTTTCTTCAACTCATTCAGCTTGAAAAACGATGAGCATGCTCTTTTCACTTTTAGTTTTCTAACTCCAGGTCTTTGCCCATTACGTTAATACTTGATTCTGTCTTCTCCAGCTGCCCTCTGAAAGCTTCCATACGTGTATGAAATCTTTTTAGGCAATGTCCTCTAAAAATTTTCTATTGAGTTATAGGAATTTCTTTTCTAATTAGCCAACATCTATTCATCTTTTAATTTGTACACTTAAAATGAGAAGAGTGGCATTTAAAATCCTTGCACTTTGGGGACAGCGATCAAATATGTTCTGCTATAAGGACTGTGTACTTTGTTTTTTCTTGTCTAATGATCTTCCTGTATAAAGTGCTCTAACACTAATGAAATGTATTAACTCGGGGCAAAGGGAAGACTTCTGCAGACTTTTATACTTGCAATAATCTGGCTGTCACCATTCATTTAGACAAGGAAAGTAAGGATTTCATTAACAAGGCTTCATCACATAAATGAATATATGAATTACTGGGAATCTGGATAAGTCAGTGATAGCCATGTATTCATCTACTTAGAACTAACTGTTAAGAATACATGAGAAACAATGATTACATTCAAATGAAAACTGGTGACATTTGAACTGGAATTCTGTGTTACAGGCTATTGATTTTCTGCTGAGAGCAAATAAGTGAGTCAATGGGATCGTTTCACTCCTACTATCACCCAGCCTGGAGTGTTGGGAAGGTCTTAGTTGGTGCACGTGCTAGGAAGTTTCAGACCACAGGGAGGTGCATTTCACAATCGCAATTAGAAATGGTTACGTGACTGCCTGCCTTCATTCCAGTTAGAACTGGAGGGAGTTTCTGGAGGCACAAGAAGGATTGTGCAACATCTTACCCAAAAGCAGAAGCAAGTAAACCCACAGGTATGCTTCCTTGGAACCCACAACTCAGGAACGCATACTTTCCTATACAAGAGGCATTTAGAGTTTCATTGGGAACTTACACAGATGAAACATCTTGTTATTAGTATTTCTCTGCTAACAGATTATATGGCAAGCAGCCTATAAATGAGGACAAAGTATATCTGACTTTCAAAGGAGTAGCTAGGATATTTAGTTATCTTTAGTGATAGGATAAAGGAGTTAAATAAATAAAGGAAAAGGTTAATCCTTCAATCAATACTGTCATATCTTTACTAAGGCAGATTCCTAACCACCACCCCTTGTTCAACGTAACAGTAAAATACGGTTTCCACTTGAAAATGAAAGGCGGTACCTTTTCTCCATAGCCTCTGTCTTTGGTCATCATCTCTCTGAGGGTCTGCAGTACCTTAATACAGAGCTTCTCCTCATTCTCCTCCAGCAACTGTTTGGTATGCTTTATTAACCTGAGCAGGGGCGAAAAACATGAATTACATTCCTGAAACTGTCTTTACATTTATAAAAAACTTCACAAGCCACTTATGGAATCTAGTCAGTTAATTGCTGCTGTTAAGTGTGGTCGAGTCGGTTCCGACTCATAGCAACCCTGTATAGGGTTTCTGAGAAAAGAATGGTGGGTTTGAACTGTCAACCTTATGGTTAGCCATCTAGTGCTTATTCTACAGTATCCACACTGACTCCAGTCAGTTAATTTTGTTGTTGTTGTTAAGTGCCTTCGAGTCGGTTCCGACCCATAGCGACCCTGTACAGGGTTTCCGAGGGTGTAAATCCTTACGGGAGTAGAAAGCCTCATCTTTCTCCCGCGGAGCGGCTGGTAGTTTCGAACCACTGACCTTAAGGTTCGCAGCCCGATTCGTAACCACTACCAGAGCTCCTAGTCAGTTAATTAGCAAATATTTATTAAGGGTTTTCAGGTTAAACATTCTTTAGGGCATTCACTGAACTGAGGCCAACTCTTTGTGACTGTGTTTCAATAGCGACACCTGCTGGTCAGCGGCAGCAAACAGGCCTCCCAGGTTTGGTCAGCCTCAAACAATACAGAGATTTATATGGAGAGGGAGGAGACAGAGGGCCACTCAAAACTGCTCCTTCATGAAGTGTGACTATTTATTATCCACTGAGGATTACTGAGGAAAACACTAAAATGTGCGAGCAATGTAAAAAAAAAAAAAAAGAAAGAAACACTTCCTTAGGATAATGGTTGGTGTGAAAACACAATCTTGTGCTTGGAAGGGTCCAGAAAATGAAGACATTCATGGGTAGAGTTAAACAAATAAGCAAACAGCCTTAAGGTTTAAAAACAAACAAAAAACAAAGGCAATTTCTGGTCATGGGAAAATTTCTGTTTGGATTACGCTCAGGGCATACACTAAAACTTCAACATTGTTCGAAGACTGTTAGGGCCTGATGGGCCCATTCTCTGTGAAGGTCATGGATTTTTATGTCTGTACCACAGCTAAACTGCAGAGTCGCTTGAACCACACGGTCGGTTGTTCAAGTTCACCAGCCGCTCCTTGGAAACACTATACAGGGTCGTTATGGGTTGGAACCAACTCAACAGCAGTTAACGACAACAACCACAACAAGAGGCAGGTACGATGCTAAGTGAAAAAGGAATGAGTAGCCAGGCTGAGAAAATGAGAACTTCTCAGTTAGGATTCAGGAACCAACTTACTTTGGGGAGGTCATGCCCTTGCCTTCACCTAACTTAAAAACCAGGACTGCGCTGTTGTTTTCAGCTTCAGGAACAAAAGCTTGGTCTGGTCACTGGGTCTCTGACAGCTATAACCCTTCCACCTCCACTCCGGGGTGAGAAACTTGCTTACTTGCAAATGAAGCCCCCGCTTTCACATTTTCGTCTGGCATCTGTGTTCTCTGGGAAAAGCAGTTCAGGTCTATGGAGCACATCCACGAGTACAGAGAGCTCAGCCTGCACCAGGGGCCTGAGCCGGTCCTCCAGCGCCGAAACAATGTCCTGGAAGGAAATTACTGCCTGGGTCAATGGTCCCGGCTGGAGGCAGAGCCACAGGCAGGCAAGACTCCACTTATTTCTGACCCACGGCATTACGCACAGACTACGCTAGGGTTAGATGAACTTTAGTGCCGTAGGACATGAATTTCAAGAAATTTTTAGATGTCACCTAATGGCTCCCTGAAGCATTAGCCTCTGATACAGAAAACAAAGCTAAAATACAAAAGTCAACATTCCCATCACCCCTTCTTTTGAGATGGTCTTATGGTACTTGAGGGATCATTCCAGATATTTTGAAATACGAGGCCAATATATATATATATATATATATATTGGACACCAAGTGAAGCTGTCTATGATACGGCATCTAGATGGCCACAGAGTATGGACCTACGACTTTATTTTTATGAACAACATCAACAACTACAGGATACACACAGAATATTACTAAAATATGACAACTGGTTATCACCGTGTGGTGGCATTCCAGTTGACTCCAAGTATCTTCTGTACAATTAATACTTGACGGTACAGTCCAATGATTTTACAACGAACATGGATTACGCATTGAATAAAAAAAGTCATATCAAAACAAGAACACAAACAAATGAACATGCTCTATCAACATGCTAAATACATGTACCCTCATAGCATGATGGTCTTCAAATGCAAAACACACAGCTGTAGGAAAGGAAAACAGAGAGAAGTTGAAAGAGTAGCAAAAACCAACACAACAAACACCATATAAAGGCAAATGGCAGAAAACAGGTGAGAAAACATCTTCACAAAAGATGCTAAAGCCGGCTGTATGGCTTGGGAGACTCAACACCTCACTCAAAGCATGTTGTCTAAAAACAGGGACACAACCTAGCCCATCAGCTCATACAGGAGGGCCTGACGAACCAAGGAGGTATGCATGGAGAAGGTTCTTTAAATCACATACACTTCAATATTGAAGTGATTAATCTTTAATTTGGGTAATCCAGTGAAAATATATGAAGATATATTTATTCTAGCTAATATTTACCAAATGTGGGGTAATCATTGCAACCACACAATAAAGGATAAAACAAATGTTGACTTTTTTTTTTTTTTTTTGCGGGTGGGGAGCGGCGGGGAGGGTGGAGTAAGGAAATGGACTCTTCATACAGCATCAGACATTCAAACATCATTGATTTTTTTTTTTTTTTTGCGGGTGGGGAGCGACAAATTTCTAGAAGACTGTGGAGAGTTCATGTCTACATTCAGATTTGATGCTCACAACACAGTCAAAAGGAGGCCAATTTTTGCAAAGTTACTCTGAGTGTCTCCTTAGTTTCCTCTTTGGAAGCACACCATTGTGCTTCACTTTTAACTGGCCCTGTCTTGAGCAGATTCTCATTTGTCAAATAACATTTGCAGCCAGTAGATACAGTTATTTTGCAAAATTTGAACTTGACTTGGTCATTTATTTGTACAGTATTGCCAAATGTATATGCCAGTAGGTAATCAGAGGGAGGCCCACAGACAGAGGGGGAGAAACAATGGGCAGGGAAAGATGCTAAGGTTCAGTGAGGGAGTGTCTGTCCACATGGAGATCCCAGATACAAGTGATCAGTTTGCATGTGAATGTGCTTTCATTACAACTGTTGTTCCTCTAGACAATTTTGTAACTAAAGTGAGGCAGACAAGAACTACTTGGATAAGGAAGACCCCTGTCAATAACTGAACAAGTATTTAAAACAAGCATCACCTGTGCATGCATTTTATTTTACTCCTTAAGAATTGTTGTTGTTAAGTGCCATCACGTCCAGTCAGTTCTGACTCATAGTGACCCTTTCTAAGGTTTCTGAGGAGGAAAGCCGGGTGAATTTGAACTGTCCAACGTGTGACTCCAATTAACATTACATTCCAGTGCACTGTCCTACAGCGCCACGCCAGAACTCCTCCCTAAGAACTGTTCTAAAGTGCCATTGAGTCGATTCCGACCCACAGCGAAACCCGTAGAGGGTTTCCAAGGAGCAACTGGTGACTTTAAACCGCCGACCTTGCAGTTCAAATGGTTTTGCAGTCTGGCATGTTAACCTACAGAGCCTCAAACAGGCATCGCGAGTCTAAGAAGAGCCCAAGAAACTGGTGTGCTTGGCAGCAGGTAGTATTTTAATTTAATTTGATCAGGCAAGAAAATACTGTACTTATGCTGCTGTTGAGCCTATGATATCCCTCCACTTTCTAAATGCATGGTGGGGTCAGGAATTGCTCCATAAGTAACCAAATGGCCTTGGTTTAAGAACTGCTTCTGTGAAAATAAGGGTAAAATCTGTGACCTCCCAGTTCCCGGGGCTCCAGCTACATCAAGCTCCCTTTAACTCTGGAATGGGCTCCATTCTCTCTTGTACTGTGCACTTGCCACTTGCCGGTTTCCCTCTCTCCCATTCTCCGTCGTGACCTCACACACAAAGACATCCGGCCATTGTGATCCACAGGGTTTTCACTGGCTGAGTTTTCTGTCTTGGTCTGGAAGATCTACTGAAACTTGTTCCACATCAGAATAGCATACAAGCCCTCTACTGACAGATGGTGCACTGGCCAGGAATCGAACTCAAGTCTCTTGCAAGGAAGGCAAGAATTCCACCACTGAACAGTGCTCTCCTTTTCTTTAAATGAGTCCTACCGTTCCTTCTGAAAACCAAAAAACAACCAAACATACAAATCCACGACCATGGAGTCGACGTAGATAGTTCATTTCTCCTGGAAAGTAGCTGGTTGGTTTGAAGCATCAAGCATGTAGATAACAGCCTAACACCTAAGCCACAGCACATGCTTCAAATGTCACTGTCTCAGCAGAGTCTTCCTTGACCATCTTCCCAAACCAGTCAACGTGAGGTTACTTTATCAGAATAAATAACCACACAGCACTGTGCTCTTTGCTTCTGCGGATCTGGCTCTTGCAGCACTTATCTGTGTGATTATCTGATGACTATCTGTCTCCCCTCCAAAGACCTGAGAGTCCATGAAGTCAAAGAATGCTTCCCTATCCGCTCACCATCATATCCCCACTGAGAAGCACACAGATGAATTCACCTCTAGGTAACTTACACAATCTCACAGAGACTTGGGACTATATCTCGTAATTATTATTATAGTCACGGTAGTAACAACAGTAAGAACTTAAGTAGTAACTATAAACAACAGTCCTCAGTTATGGGGTGCTTGTGATGGCAGGGAGTACGTGTGACTTGCCAGCCACTGATCTATGTTAGTGTACTGTTTTGTCCACAGATGCCACCGCAGCAGATCTGATCTCATGTATCCTACGTACACTGTGACACTGAAGTTCCTCCCCTTCAACCTGAGTGGCCCTTTTTGGCTGCCTTGACCAACAGACTATGACAGAAGATGCTACAGGACTTCTGAAACTTGGTCATAAAACGCTTTCACTTTGGCTCTCTCCAGAGATGCTCACCCTTAGACTCAGCTGCCATGTTGTGAGGAAACTGAGACCGCATAAAGAAATTTCATTCAACAACCCCAGCTGAGGTCCCAACTGACACCCAGTATCAATTGGCAGACTGGTGAAGGACTAATGTGTGCAGATGAGTTCAAGCCCAGCTACCATTGGACTGTAAGTACATAAGAGATTCTGAGCAAGAAAGACCTAGCTTAGTCAGTCTACTTCCATAAGAGGCAAGGATAGTAACTGTTATGGCTTTAAACTATTACGCTTCAGGATGATTTGCTACACAGACGTAGCAAACTGAAACATGGATCTGAATCCTTACATCAATCTCATGAGATACAATCAATCTCATGTGATATAATTATCTTATAAATTCAAAAACTGAAGCACTGAAGAATTAAGAAACTTCTTCAAGGCTACACCGTTTCTAAGCAGTGGAGTCTGATATCACATTCTTCGTCACTGGTCCATGCTCCTCCTAAAGATCTGTGATGCTTAAACTGTGGTCCAGGTACGACTGCTGTTTGCAAAAGATATCTATGCTATCTTAGGGTGGATGTTTTCAGGGTTTCACAATCATCTAATACTTGCTGCCCTCCCCTTTAACAAAAGAAGAACAGGTCTTTTGTTATGCAAATCTAACTAGCATTGCATAACACTTTATTTTCATCTGGCTCATTCTGATATAAAACTTCTCTCCAGCACCGTTTACACTTGCTCTCCTCCTGATTCAGGACACCAGCTATCCTAGGGTGTAGGGGGGGAAATGAGGCCCTGTGCCCTATTCTAAAGGAGCCCTGGTTACATTGCGGGCTACAAGTTGGGCTGCTAAACACAAGGTCAGCAGTTTAAAACTACCAGGTGCTCCTTGGGAGAAAGATGAGGCTTTCTGCTCTTATAAAGATTTACAGCTTCAGATACTCTATATAGGGTCACTCTGAGTCAGAATCGACTCCCTGGCACACAACCACTACTTATTGTGTCCAGACACCGAGAGTCCTTAAATATGTCTTTTTAATAAATGCAGACGGCCCATTTTTCATAAAGATATTTGTGGATCTATGAATAATGTCTAAAAATCAGGCGTTGTTAGGAGATGTCTTTTTCCTAGGCAGCTTCACACTGCAGGACACATGAATACTATTCCTCTGAACTCTTCACTCAAGATACTAACATCTCCCTAAGAAAGCATTGCTGTGAATGGGAACTACCCATAGCCAAGTAAGTGCTGCTTCCCTCAGCACCAGATATTACCTGCAGTCTCTCAATGATGTTCCGGTAGTCTCTGGAAGCAGCCAGGACGGAGTCTCTGCGTGCTGCATTACGGGCTGACAGCCGCCAGTTCATGGCTGTTTTCTGCACAATGTTATGGGACTTCAGAAAGAGGTTGTTGACTTGGCTGTCCAAGTCCACCGGGATGGCAATGGTCCGGCTCTTAGCTGCACAGAAGAACAATGACTCATGAGGTGACAATGTTTTGTGGGAGCTGACTTAGAGACAGGCTGGATGCATGCTACTAACTGCCACTAAGTGGCCCTTGAGTCATGGTGACTCTGTGAACAGTGACGTCAGACACGGTTTTCACTGACTGACTTTAGAAAGCCGTTCACCAGGTCTTTCTTCTGAGTCCATCTTGGCATGGAAATTGCACTGAAACCTGTCCAGCATCAGAGCAACACACAAGTGGACACTGACATATGGGTGGTGTCTGTGTACGAGGTACGGCGGCTCGGAAGTGAACCTCGGTCTCCCACACGGGAGGCCCAGCACTAAAACCATCACTGCCCCCTAATGTGAGAAATTTGCAAGATGGTCCATCTTCAGGAATGAAGGGCCCATGAGACTGCTACACCAGACCTAGGTTGTTGATTCACACCCAGGAATATGTAAGCAGAATGAACTGGGGGAAGGGGAGTAAGAGCACTGTTCTAGGACAAGGAATTTTAAATAAGGACAGAGTCATCAAGACCATGGGCACCATTCAGGCTTCTCAGGGAGAAGGAAAATAGAACATTCAGGGTAGAATGGTAAAATTTCATAGTTCCCAGGAAAAGGGGAACTGGAGAAGGGGCTTTTTTGAGACAGGGAAACACAACTGTTTGTGGGTCAGCCATGTGGCACGTCTGCCCGTGTCTATTGGGTTGGGCACCTGATTTTGCAAAATCGAATAAAAAGAACCTCACCCTAGCTAAAATGAGTACAGATTGGATTTCTTGAACATTTGTCAGAATTAACATTTCTCACACGGTTTCATAGAAAAAGTGGGAAATTTAGGGAAAATATAAAAATTTTACAAATACAAAGCAAGCTGCACAGATTCCCTGTCTCAGCTAGAAATGATGGCCCTTGGGTATACTTTTCTAAGCTAAACAACTAAAGTCGAGGTCATTCCCCCAGGACCATAAGGCCAGAGTCCTAGAGCTAATGGGTTGTGCTGTTTTCATATGCTGCCTTTTCCCAAGCATACGCTCTCCTGTCTTATCACTGTGCAAACTGCTGAAAGCTTTTACCTCCTAATGACTGTTGAACTAGTCCGGGCAGCTGTTTGCTTTAAGCTTAACCAATTAACTCTCATACATTTTCTTTGGCCTTAGTAAGCATATCCTTCATGATGCTTATTCAAAATGAGGACCCAAACTAGTTGCTGTTGATTTCAACTCATGTGTGTTGGAAGAGAATAGATGGCTTATTTTTCAGGAGGACATCACCAGGTCTTTCTTCTGAGGTACACCTCTGTTTGGACTCAGACGTCTAACCTTTTCGTTAGTAGCTGAGCACACCTGCTATTGGCATCAGCCAGGGACTAAATAAAACGAGGACAGGCGATGTGAGGATCCCCTGTTAGGATCTTGCTTCTGAGATACCAATCATATCTTGAACCTGTTTTATTGTTGTTGTGATGTGCTGTGGAGTCGGTTCCAAATCATAGCGACCTTGCATAGGGTTTCCAAAACTGTAAATCTTTACAGGAGCAGAAAGCCTCATCTTTCTCCCGCAGAACAGCTGGTAGTTTCAAACTGCTGACCTTGTGGTTCACAGTCTGATTCATAGGGCACATGAATTTCAAAGCAAATACTGCCACATAACTAATAAAAATAAAAGACACCAGTATCTGCCACATGAGAGTATAGGAACTCGGATAAGGACTACAGAAATCAGGCAACAAACCCTAAGGAACCCAGTTCACACTTGCTAGACAGCCACTGAGTAGTGCTTAAGTAGCCCATCTGGCTACTTCTAACCCTGTTGCCATTCAAGTCATTACCAGCTCATAGTGACCCAGGCCAGAATAGAACTTCCCTGTAGGATTTCCAAGGCAGTGATATCTCTGGAATCTTTTTCCTGTGGAGTGCCTGGTGGGTTCAAATCACTGACCTTTCAGTTAGCATCATTCATGTACTTAACCACTGTGCTACCAGGGTTCCTTGGTTACTGTCTACAGAGATCTAAAAATCTTCCATCTGTAGATAACTCTTCTCACCCTTACGAGAGTGGCTTACCCCTTTGCATAGCATTTTTTGGAGGGACAAAACGGCGAAAATGATCAAATTAGATCAAATCAGGCAGGCTGAAGGATCAGCAATTTTCATAGCTTCCTTTTAAAGTTTCCTGTAAGGCAGGAGAAAGATGAAGCAGTCTGTTCCCATAAAGATTTACAACCTCAGAAACCCTAAGGAGCAGTTCTACTGTCCTAAAGTGTTGCTATGACTCGGAATTGACCTGATGACAGGGGGCTTTTGGCTTTTTAAGACATGAGACTTGCTGGGGATGGAAAAGGGAGAGAAAAACCATTTATCCCTGAGAGATAAAGGGGAGCAGTGCAGCAGTTCTGAGAAAGAGAGTTCACTGGAATACAGACAGGTGCTCTATAGGGGTTAAAAAAAGAAATTTTCCTAAGGTCAAATACACTTGCTGCAATAAACAAATGAGCCTCTTGAATGGGACCTTTCCAAGATTGTGGGCTAGCTTGTGTGCCCTGTGGCTTTGCCAAGAGTTACCTAACAGTTACTATGGAATCTTGTTTTCCAACACCCTCTGACTTTGGGGCTTACTGGCTCTTCCTTTGGGAAATGCTGGTTTAACGGATATAAGCCCAGTCTGGCTCTGCAATTCCCTAATTTCCTGTCTGTGTAACCTAGGAGGACTGGCACAAGTGGTCAGTAAGTGGTGGCCTTTATTACTGGTAGGCATTTCAGTTCCACCATGTGAAGTCCAGGCTGAAGTGATATCTTACCTACATCTGAAAGTACCCGGATGCAGCCCTCCACGGAGGCTTTCTGGCTCGGCACCAGCCAGTTGCAGTGGTAAACCCTGAACACGCCTTGCAGCAGCTGCACAAAAACCGGCTGACGAGTCTGAAAGAGAAAAGTCCGAGAGAGAGCAAGCTGATGCGAGGGCTCATCTTTGTAGGTAACCGAGAAAGATTAGAAGTAAAGCTGCCCGCAACCTTGTGGGAATGCATCATTTGGTAAGAGTGGGAGGAGGCTGCTTAGCTATGAGATGGATGCCACAGAAGAAAAACTGAGTATTTTAAGCCTATGTACAAATGTGATTTTATCTATCTAGGTTTGACCACTGAATAAGTCTCATCTTGTCTAGATGGGTCTGGTTAAAAAAGATGGGGATTAGAGTCTTATGATTCTATACTGAGTAACTGTTATCATGACTAACTGCGATTGTCACAATTGTAAAGGTAGAAGTTTTGTAACCAAAATGGGGGAGTGGTTAATCTTACAGTCCAGGAACAGAGGACCCTAGGACCATCAAGCAAGAAGAGCAGGAGCAGAATGCGGGACCTTATCCAGAGAAGCAGCAGCACCAGAGATGGAGGCAGAGATGAGAACATGGAGAGAGAGAGAGCAGCTGAGGACTCTAGATTCATGGAAAGAGAAAGACTGAGTGCTGGCAGCCTGGAGGAAGGCTTACAGAACGTGCCCTTTGGCTGTTTAAATTATATATTCTTGAGTGTTTTTGTGCACATTCCCTCCCACCCACCTCAAAATAAAACAACAACAACAACAAAAAAACAAAGAGAGAATGGAAGCAAATACTATTGAATGATGATACATGGAGGAGATTGTAATCATTGCAATGAAACAATGAGTGTAAAACCGATGTTCTCCTATGTAAGTGATCACTCAATTCACAAAAACTTAAAAAAAAATAAAAGTGGGAGGCTAATATGTACAGCAAAGCTGAAAGTGTCAGGGGTAAAAGAAGGGCCATACATCCCACCTCCCCACAGCCTGCGAATAACAAAAAGCAAAGCCACAGGCACAAGTATAAAATATCCGAATAATAAAACAAAACACAAACAGAATGATGAACTATCACAGCCTCCCCTATAAACACTGTTCACATCATTGTCACTATTGTGTGCCATGGTTTTGGTTGGGTTTATGTGACAGACACTTGAAATCTGATCTCACCGAGACCTCAATAACAATTCTATGACACAGGCTTTCTCTCCAAGTAGGAAATGAAACACAAAGGTCCAGCAAGGGTAAACAAAGAATCCAAAAGCACTCCAAGAACTCAAGTGCTTAGCTTAGGGACCAACAAGTTTCCAGTCCCCAAATATCCAAGACTAGGTGGAGAAACTCTAAAGGCAGCAACCATACGATGCTTTATATTAATGACTAAACTGAACTGGTCACTCGCAGTGTCTAGGAAATTACCTAGTGTTGTTGCTGTGTGCCTTGCTAAAATTTCCTCATTCAAGATTCAGAGTCAATCAGTTACATCCCAAACAGCTGTGACCACAGCTGGGTAAAATAATATGTGTCTCAGTTTACTCATTTGCAAAATAGAGAGCATAAACCTATCTCATAGGCTGCTCTAGGCTTACACGAACTGCTTTGCATAGTTGTTGTTGTTATGTGCCGTGGAGTAGGTTCTGACTCATAGCAGCCCTGTACAGGGTTTCTGAGGCTGTTAATCTTTACGGGAACGGAAAGCCTCATCTTTCTCCTGCAGAACCGCTGGTAGTTTTGAACTGCTGACCACGAGATTAGCCTGATTCATAACCACTACGCTACCAGAGCTCCTTTTTGCATAGTTACTGGAGTATTATTGTTGTTGAGTGCTGTCGAGTCAGTTCTGACTCATAGCAACTCTGTAAGTACAGGGTTCCAAGGAGTGGCTGGTGGATATGAACTGCTGATCCTGCAGTTTAAACAGACCTTGCTGTCTAGTGCTTATCCTACAGTGCCACACCAGGACTCCAATAGAATATGCTGCTGTTGTTGTTAAGTGTCATTGAGTTGGTTCCAACTCATAGCAGCCCTGTATAGGGTTTCCAAGGAGTTGCTGGTGAGATTGAACCATGACCTTTCAGTTCAAACTGACTTTGCGGTCCAATGCTTTATTCTGAAATGCCACAATTGTAGCAATGAGTATTAAACGAGTAAGAAATAATTGATACCAAGGGTCCAGAGTCCTGGTGTGGTACTGTAGGAAAAGCACTGGATTTCTAACCACACAGTTGGTGGTTCAAACCCACCAGTCACTCCTTGGAAACACTATACAGAATCACTATGAGTAAGAACTGACTCAACAGCACTTAACACCACCACCATCATCAAGGTTCCAGTTCATACAAGCATGGGTCTATTTCAACCAAAAGTGAGTTCAAAGACTTCTCTGCAATCAGTGGATGGCTGCAAACAAGTTTCCTCAACAACACAATTGTCTTACTCTCATTATTTTGTCTTCAAAAAAAAATCCAATTAAAATCATGATTTCTGAGAGGATCTGCTGTACCAGGTAAATTCAAGGCAGAGAGGTCAGCTCAGAATGTTATTGTTGTTGTTGTTACTGTGTTTTTTGAGGATTTCAAAGGGGGTAATCCTCACAGATTTTCTTGAAGCACATGGGATGGTCACAAGGCTTTATTATGAAGAAGTTTAAATAGGAAACTGCATCGGGGAGAAAATGGCCAATGAAGTTGCTGAGTTAATTGTTTTCCATCATGAAAATGTACCTGCTCATTCTTCCAGGGTAGCAAAGGTTGTCCTACAAGAATTTCATTGAGAAGCCTTGCCACACCCACCCTACAGCTCTGACTTTGGCCCCCCATCAGACTTCTATGTGTTCCCAAATCTCAAAGAAAACTGAAAAGAAAAATAATTTGAATCCCTCGAGGATGCCAAAACTGCCATTTTGATGCGGTGTAAATCAAAGAGCGCAGAATTCTTTGGTAAAAGGTTAAAGAGATGGAAACACTGCCTTTAGAAGTGTACAGACATGGATGGAGGGTCTATCAGCAAAAACTAGTATCACATTTTGATGTTTTTTTGTTTAATGAACAATTCTATGATTTTACAGCAATACGTCTTGATTTACCCTCATATTGACCATGTATTACACTTTCCTTGGAGGACTTACACTTATTTCGATTATTTATCTAAATCCAACCATCCTAGGACACCAACAGCCCCAGGACAATTTCTATTTCTTTGCTGGACAAGAATGGTCCACTGGAGACCAAGATCAGCTTTCCTTCTGTAGTTTGCAGACGTGGACAAGCAGTAAGACTACCATAATAGTGGACTCCAATGTAAATCATAAATAGAGGTGATTTTTTCAAGTAAAAAAAGTCTCGGCCAGTCCTCCAGATACATGGTTTCAAGACTTCGAAATTTTAAGCACACTGAGAATGGCCACGTAGGGTTAGGGCACTAAACAACTCCATGGCACACCATGACACAGGCTTCAATGCAATGCAGCAACCCTGCGTAAACAACTTCTCACTCCAGCAGCGCATCATTTCTAGTGAAATCCCCACCAAAAAGGGGGTTTACGGGTGTTTAGAAAGAAAAAGTAATAATGATATGTTAGTCTGGTGTGGTACTGTGGGCTAATGCATCAGACTGCAAAGTTGTTTGAACTGCAAGGTCAGTGGTTCAAGCTCACCAGCTGTTCTTTGGAAACCCTATAGAGGGTCGCTATGGATCAGAATTGACTCGATGTCACTTTCTCAACAACAGCACCTATCTGCGAGCTTCATCTCTTTATGGGCAGCCCTGGAGGTACAGTGGTTAAAGCACAGCTGCTAACCAAAAGGTCAATGGTTCGAACCCACCAGCCACTCCATGAAGAAAGAGGAGACAGCCTGCTTCCATAACTGACAGCCTTGGAAACCCTATGAGGCGGTTCCACCCTCTCCTGTAGTGTTGCTAAGGAATTGGAATCACCTTGACAGCAATGGACTTTTGCTTGGGTTTCTCTAGGATGGAGGGTGGGGTGGGCAAGACTGAATCAAAATAATAATAATAACAAGGGAAGAGTATTTGAAGGAGAAAATTAAACTACTAAAAGCATCTAGTGTAGGGAACACATCCTCAGGTATTCTATATCAAAGGGACCCTGCAGCAGCTACTCTCAACTAGCAACAACTGATGAAGACTGCTGTGAATATTCTGGATCTACATTTTTACTTCTTACCTGCAACGTCGTACTCTGATCTGAGAAGGGCGAACTAAAGAAGGTAGTAACAATACTCATGACAATTTCAGTCACGTACTTCTCCAGAATGGAGTCTGCGTGCTTCCTGTCACTTGTGTTGTTACAGGCCTGGAAGACAATTGGAGGTTTGAAAGGTTACACCAAACCTTGCATTTCAGGTGTAAACTTAAGAAACCCAATACCCTTCCCACTGAGAACCCTTAGAAATGAAAGGTAAAGACCTATAGGTCAATATTTAACCTCTCCTTAAAAGATAATGAAAATAAATCATGGGGAAAAAAGACACACATCCACTCAGATACCATAGCTGTACAATCACAAAACATTAACACTAGTATGGGACTTACAAGGCCGTCGCTTCTACCCACATGTAACAATTCTAAAACCTCAAGAGGAACTACATGAGTTTTAATCTTTCATTAAAATTAAGCTGCCCTCTGCTTAAGCCATGGGCTCTAGTCAGTGCAATCAGGCAAGCCTATTTATATCGCTGATGTCCTTTCTGTCTGACATTCTACAGTCCTACGACATTATCACTCAATAAAAAAATGCTATTGATTTCCAACAGTGTTCAAAATAGAGGGCAGTAAATTGGGATAACTGACAGTCTAAGTGTTGGGGGAAGAGAAGACATCTTGGCTTTCACTTGTATGCTACCTAATCATGCTGCTCGGAAGAAGAGTAGCCAGAACAGGTTTAGAGAAAATATATGTTTTTTGAATAAAATTTTATTAACAGACCACCACAGTCTCAGTTTAATACTGGGCACTTTGAGCACACGTTGACAGAACGCAATTAGTAATGCACTTAACAGTATTTCTGAACAACATTATATGGGGGTTGGCAAAGTAGCTAATTTTATAAATAAAGTATTATTGTAATATAGTCATGCTCATTTGTTTATAAATTGTTATGATGTTTTCAAGCTATAAGGGCAGAGGGGAAGAGTGGAACAAAGACCAGGTGGTTCATTTCCTATCTGGACTTTTCATAAAAAAAACACTGTTGGCATCTGATACAAAGAAAAGCAAAAATTCTAGGTCTGTGGCATAAAGAGACTAGGAGGAGTATGAGATAAAGTAACACTTTGTCTGTGATACAAGCACCTGAGTATTATTAAATACAGTACTCAGAAACAAAGTTCTGACAGGAAGCTGGTCTCATAGCGATCAATGCAAAGTCAGACAGAAAACACCAGTCTCTAAAGACCCTTATCACCTGGCTCCTCCACATTTTCCGACCATAAAACTCATATTAAATCCATAGTGTGCTTTGTTATGTAGTAGTAGCCTTGTGCCTTTGGAGTGACTATTAACCTAATTAATAAATACACAGAAAGCCCACCGAAACGGCTAGATCCTGAAAGTAAAAGATAGCACATAAAGTGCTTTGTAAAATCCTCAGCCTGAGACTGTGGGAGACCAATCAATATTCAAGCACAGAAGGGTGCCCTTCAAGGACAAGAAAGTAAACCCTTATACAATTTGATTTCACTGTGTCCCAGGTTAGCATTCAGGTTACTATTTATAAGGGATAGAGTAAAAACCTGAAATAACCTTTCTTCTCTGAAACTTGATTACTAGAATCTAGTCCCAGCTTAAAGCAAAAGGTAGGACATGAAAAATGTGAAAGGAATCAGTTTTCAAATTGTACAGCCAAAGTTATTCCACCCAGGCTGGGAGTTTCCCCACACTCACTCACACCCCCCCACCACACACACACACAAACACTCTTTTCCCTGAGTTTCAGGAAACCATACCCTGCAGATATCTACAAGGAAATTTTCAAACAACTTCCACATGTGATTGCTGGTGTAAATCTCCTTCATTTCCACCTCAGTGTCCACATAGCAGTGATTCAGGAAGTTAATGTATGCGATTTTAACCTGGAAAATAAAAAACAAGCTTTTCTGAAAAAAACACCTTGGTATATGCAGTATTGCTTACCTACCTCATGTTGATAGTGAGAAGAGACCAGGGTCCCCTGCAGGCTCAATTTCTATGACTTTTTTATATTAAAAATCAGCAGTTAGGAAATTCTAAAGTTTTGGATGAGAATATTTCATAACTCCAAGGTAGAGTACGATACCACAAAACAAACCAGAAAGAAGATGGAAAATTTGACCTCATTAAAATTTAAAAACTGCTATTCATGAAAACACATCATTAAAAGACTTAAATAGCCACAGAGGACTAGAATGGAGAGCGAAGCATCCAGCTAATAAGAGAGGGCATATGCACAAGATCACCCACACTTGCAGATAATATCCACTTGACCTGGCTTCAATGACTGGATGATCAAAGCTCAACTAGAAGAAGACAGAAGAGGAAAAAAGTGTAATCTGATACAATTTGATGAACTTGACCTTTACCTATGGATGAAGTAGCTCAAAAGAGGGAACAAATCTTTACAGCAAGGATGATTCCCACCCCCTCCATACACAGAGTAGACAGGGATGGGCAACTTGGACATTGGCTACCCAAAATGGTGGGGGGGAGGGGGGGCTACAAAAGCAAGAAGTGACTGGCTTATAAGCTTTCAAGAGGGAACCTTGATCCAGAGGGCGTGGAGGAAGGTAGAATCTCCACTGAGTAGTATCCAATCTGTCTAGGTAGGGCTGATGAAAGGAAATGTGGATAGGTCTCTTGTGATACAATAGTGAATAATTGTTAACAGGACCTATTGTGAGGGTTGGTAATGTAAAAGTAGACGTTTTATAGCAAGGAGGGAGTGAATAACTTTTCAGTCCAGGAGCGGAGGTCCCTGGGACCATCAAGGGAGAAGAGCAGAGAGTGGGACCCTACCCAGAGAAGCAGTGATGCTTGAGATGGAGGCAGAGACGACGATGACGTGGAGAGATGGAACAGCTGGGGACTTTAGACACAGAGAGGGAGAGGGGCTGTGTGCTGATGACCAAAGGACAGACTTGTAGTGTATACCCTTTGGTTGGTTGATGATGTATGGAGGGGACTGTAACCATGGCAATGGGATGATATACAATAGGATGAATGTAAAACTAATGTTCTCCCATGTAAACTATCGCATAATTCGTAATTCAAATAAAACATTAAAAAAGAAAAAAAACTTAAATGGCATTGATTGAAAGAAACAAGGCACTTAAGCAACAAAGAGCTCTTACAGATCAGAATGAAGATAGACATCCCAATAGAAAAACTAGGCAAATAATTCAACATTATATTTTTTGAAAAAATGATTATCAAATGTCCAATGAACACATTGAGAGGGGGCTCAACTTTCTTTTGTAATCGAGGGTAAAGAATTAAAACCACTATGAGACACCACAAGAAGGCATGGTGATGCAGTGGAGTGAACACTGGGCTACTACCCACAACATCGGTGGTTCAAACCCACCAGCCCATTGTGGGAGAATAATGAGACTATCTCTTTCCATAAAGGTTTACTGTTGTTGCTTAGTGCCATCAAGTTGGTTTCAACTCATGGCAACCCTGTATACGGTTTCTGAGGAGTGGCTGATGGATTTGAACCACCAACCTTGCAGTTCAAACCGACATGGAGGTCTAGCACTTATCCTACAGTGCCACACCAGGACTCCCATACAGATTTACAGCCTTCAAAATTCTACTCTTACTGGAGGGTCACTGCGAATTAGAATCAATCAGACGGCAGTGGGTTTGAGATACCACAACGTCAGAAAACACGAATGGCTATCTGCTTTCAAAAGGTCATATCCACAAACAGCCTGTGTAGTGCTAGTCTGATACACACGGAGTCTCCGTGAGTTACAAAAGGCAACAAACAACAACAGGAGACAGCACGACACACCCATGAGATTAACAAGCATTTCAGAGTCTGTGAAGCAATAAGAGTTCTGGAGGAAGGAGAGACGGAAACTGTAAAAACTGTGTTGGCCAACAACTTGGCATCATGACATAAAATGGAAGAAATGTATATCCTTGAATACAGCACCTCTACGTCTATGTATGTACCTACAGAGACATGTGCACATGTGTACCAGAACACAGTCCCAAAGTGCAAACAACCAAAATGAGCATCATCAGGACAGAAAAGTAACTTTTGGTACCATGATACCACGGAATACTCTAAAAATCAGCACAGCCACATGGATGAGTATGGATGAATCTGAACAACATATCATTGAATTTAAAAGAAAACAAAATAATAAGCAAAGTTCAAACTGACAAAACCAAATAATATTGTTTAGAAAAGCAACTATGGGATTACATATTTACCTCCAGGAGGGAGCCCCTTACAGAAGGTCAATGACTGGGAAACCTAACAAAAAGTTTTTGTTCAATTTCTGGGATGGTGTTTGCACAAATATTCTATTCTTCTTCTCAGGTGTTTTTCTGTACTTACGTTATTCATCAAATATGAGCTGTACTGTAAAACCCACAATAAAGAAATGAAAATTATAGCAGCAGTGGAATTCCTAAGAATCCAAACATTTGACAACGTGTTGTGTGGTTAACCTGTGAGAAAACAGGCAATCCCATTATTTTATAACTCAATCCAATGCCCTCGGGTTGACTCTGACTCACAGTAACTCTATCGAACAAAGCAGAACTGTTCCCTGGGCTTCTAAGGCCGTAGTTTTTACAAAAGCAGACTTCCCTCATCTTCTCTGGAGCAATAACTCCAGAGGTGGGTTCAAACGGCAGATCTTTTAGTTAGCAGCTAAGTGTTTTTACTACAGCGCTACGACATATCCTTGTTATACAAATGTAAGAATTATTATTAGCTCATTGTTGTTAGACAGTGCCATCGAGTCAGTACTGATCACAGCCACCCTATGTACAACAAAACAAAACACCGCTTGGTCCTGCGCCAACCTCATAATTATTGCAACATTTGAATCCATTGTTGAAGCCACTGTGCCAATCAATCTCACTGGGGTCTGTGACCCTCCACTGTACCAAACATGATGTCCTTCTCCAGGGACTGGTCCATCCTGATAATATGTCTGAAGTATGAGAGATGAAGTCAGGCCATCTTGGATTCCAAGGAGCACTCTGGCTGCATTTCTTCCTACATGGATTGGTTTGTTCTTTAGGCAGACCATGGTGCTTCCAATATTCTCCTCCAACACCATAACTTACATGCATCAATTCTTCCATGGTCTGCCTTATTCACTGTCCAACTTTCGCATGCATATGAGGTGACTGAAAATACTGTGGCTTAGGTCAGGCACATTTTAGTCCTCAAACTGAAATCTTTGCTCTTCAACACTTTAAAGAGGTTTTGCGCAGCAGATTTGCCTAATGCGATATGTCATTTAATTTCTGCTTCCATCTCATTACATTATTATACATTGTGTTAACAATTTACTGCCCTCAGAGAGGGCAATTAGGAGCATCTGTATGATAGAACCGTATGCAAATATAAAAGGGGAATGTGGAATCTCATTATGAACTGATATGGAAAGAAAATAAAGTGTTCCAGTACAGAAGAGTATACTGACTGCTACCTTTTGTGTTTATATGCAAGTCTGGATGTTATACAAGAATATAATAAATCATTATCCAGAGAGTAGGGAGGAACAAATTACGCTTTTCATTGTTTAGTGCTGTATTCCACAACCAAACCCAGTTCCATAAAGCCAATTCTGACTCATAGCAACCCTACATGACAAACCAGAACTGCCCCAAAGGCTACAATCTTTAAGGTAACAGACTATATCTTTCTCCCACAAAGGAGCTGATGGCTTCTAACTGTCAACGTTTCAATTACCAGATGAGTGCCACCAGGGTTCCATTACTGTTTTATAGATTTTGATATTTGAACAATATAAAACGTATTAACTTGTCCCCCCCCCAAAAATACTACATATATTTACATATGTAAATATAAGTATATTTACATATGTAAATATACATATCCAATATGCATCACATATGTTGTATATTGTTGTTGTTAAGTGCCGTCGAGTCGGTTCCGACCCATAGCGACCCTGTACAGGGTTTCCGAGGGTGTAAATCCTTACGGGAGTAGAAAGCCTTATCTTTCTCCCGCGGAGCGGCTGGTAGTTTCGAACCGCTGACCTTTAGGTTCGCAGCCCGATTCGTAACCACTACGCTACCAGAGGGTCACTATTCATCAGAACCAACTCCACAGCACATAACAACAACAATATATATGCAGATTTATACAAGTATATTTAGATACAAATTATGTACTTTAAAATATAAACCAGCAGTACATATTTTAAGATGTACAAAAATAAAAGGTATGACTGATATTTTGTTGTTAAACAATATGTATCAATAGGAAGGAGTCCTGGTGTGGTACTGTAGGATGAGGACTGGATTGCTAACCACAAGGTCGGTGGTTCAAACCAACCAGCCACTCCTAGGAAACCCTATACAGAGTTTGCTACAAGTTGAAATCAGCTCAACAACTCTTAACAACATCAAAATAAATAGGAGGAATAAAAACATTTGATAGACAAAGGAATATTATTCAGTCAAAAAGAGCAAATCCTCACAACTAATATATAACATTATGATAAATGAAAAAAAAAAATAAAGTTGTTAAAAACTTCATTTTGCTTAAATTTGTAATCAATATTCATGTAAGTAGCATTCAAGAGGAGCCCTGCTGTGACGCTGTGGGTTAATGTGCCAGACTGCAAAGCCGTTTGAACTGCAAGGTTGGTGGTTCAAGCTCACCAGCTGCTCCTCGGAAACCCTATACAGGGTCCTGCTTTGGGTCAGAACCAACTCAATGGCACTTCACAACAACAGGCATTCAAGAAATCAAATAACATATTGTATTCAGCAGATGTGCTGCAGAAGACTTCTTTCAAGTGTTAAAGAGTAAAGATTTCAGTTTGAGGACTAAAGCGTGCCTGACCCAATCCATGGTATTTTCGGTTGTCTCATATACATGGGAAACTTGGACAGTTAATAAGGAAGCCTGTAGAAGAATCAATGCATTTGAATTATGTTGCTGGCAAAGAATACTGAAAGAACCATGGGCTGGAAGAAGAAACTAACAAATTTGTCTTAGAAGAAATACAGCCAAAATGCTCCTTAGAAGCAGGAGAGACTTTGCCTCTCGTTCTTTGGACATGTTGTCAGGAGGGACCGGTTGCTAGAGAAGGACATCATGCTTGGTAAAGGGTCAACGAGAAAGGGGAAGACCCCCATCGAGATGGACTGACCCAGTGGTACAACACTGGGCTCAAACATAACAAAAGTCTGAGGATAGCACAGGACCTGGCAGTGCTTGGTTCTACTGTGCACAGGGTCGCTAGGAGCAGGAACTGATGTGACAGAACCTAACATCAAGAACAGACAGCAGTGGAATTCTGATACATGTTATGCCAGGAATGAAATAAAAAATATTCAGCTGACTGAAAAAAATCAGACTAACAATGGACCTCTTCCAGCCCACCCCCAATTTAAACGACATGACTAGAATGGAGAAATGCATACAGGAGAGGTTTCTTAGTGGTTACTGGGGGCTCAGGGGAGGGGAGAATGGGTTATTAATTGCTTCAGGGGTACTGAGTTTCTGTTTAGGGTGATGTAAGGATTTTAGAAATGGGACAGTAGTGACGGTGGTACAAGATGGTATGGGTACTTAATGTCACTGAATTCTACATCTAGAAATAGTTAAAATAGAAAACTTATTGTTATATATCTTTTGTTGGTGGTAGTAAGTGCTGTCAAGTCCGTGCTGACTCTTAGTAACCCAGTATAGGGTTTTCCAAGGAGTGGCTGATGGGTTTGAACATTGAACCTGTAGTTATAGAAGTCTAGTGCGTATCCTATAGTGCCATACCAGAACCCCGTTTTACATTATAAAAAAAAATTTTAAGAGACCAACAAAACAAAATGTAACAGGTAATTATTATGGATTGTGGAATTATCGATTATTTTTAGTTCCTAAATTTTTTACAATTATCAAGTATCATCATTTTCTCTTTTTTTCATGTATTATCTTTGATTAGTATTCTTTTTAAAGAATAAACTAATGGAATAATTCTTCTATTTGTATGAGCTAAATTTCAACCCACTCTTAACCTCTTTCCTGAGAAGCTCATTCTGGAGAACTGGAACAATTTTCAACTCCTCCTAAGGAGATGGGAGACAAGACCAGCTTCCCCCACATGCCTTTCACACAAAATCTATACTCAAGAAAATTTTGTTTCAGCAAATTGAGCTGCAGTTCTCAAAATTCTGCTGTAGTCTCATCCTGGCCAGCCACTGGGCAGTTTCTCCATAGAGCCCAGTTCCTCACACCCATAGAGAGACAAGAAAGGCACAGCCCAGCTGTGGCTCTCACCTCAGGGATGCAGTCCTCGTGGGTCACCACACGGACAATGTCATCGAGTGGCAGTAGGGAGTTACACTTGATCTCGGTGTACACATTCTTGCCCTCGGTGCATACAGCCAGGAGTTCCACCAAGTGGATGTGGTACATGAGTGGGCTGTTCTCATCCATGCGGTCTCGCTCTGACCTCATCATCTGGATCAGAGTCTGGAAAGAGGCTCTGTCATTGTAGAACACGAGCACGTCTTCTCCTGAGTTGACCAGCTATAAAAGAGGAGTTCTTGTTTAAGCTGCAAATTTACACAGGGTGAGAGGGGACCAAAAAGGTAGCAAGAACCATTTGCTGAGAAAGATGTTCTTTTAGCACTGCCCTTCCAGAACTAGTCATACCTGTATTCCTAAACTCACCCAGATTTCATTCATATCTATTACTGAACAGTTAAAAATTCATCAAATTTGAAATCACAGATACAGAAATACCACAGTGGCCATAGAAGTATTAGGAAAGAGAAAGCCTCATGTATGAAATGCAAACACAGACAGCTCACACTTGAGGATTATTTCCAAAGCTATATAAACCAATGAATCTAAACCTGATGTTCTCGAGTCGATCACATCTCATGTGACCCCACCTATTCCAGATGACCAACTGGGCTCCACAGGGTTATCAATGGCTGTGGTCTTTACAGGGGAGTCCTGGTGTGGCGCTGTAGGATAAGCACTCAGCTACATATTTGGTGTGAATCGCAAGGTCAGTAGTTGATGCTCACCAGCTGCTCCTCAGAAACCCTATACCGGGTCACCAAGAGTCAGAATGGACTCAACAGCACATAACAAAAAAACTAATCTTTACCGAAAAAGACCAGCAGGCCTTTCTTCTGTGGCATCATTAGGTGGGTTTGAACCACTAACCTCTAGGTTAATAGTCAGGAGTCTGTTTGCACCATTTAAAAATGTCTCCATGCTCTTTTTTATACTTTACGAAGTATATACTTACAACTCTCTTCACATGATTTCATCTCTTCAGTGACGAATTATCCATTTCTAATAAAGACATGCCTCCTTTCAATTCTCATCAAAAGAACCATGAATTCCCCTAACACTCTGGGATCTCATAAATAAAATGGTAGCATAGTGGTTGCGAATCAGGCTGTGAACCGCAAGGTCAGCAGTTCGAAACTACCAGCTGTTCCGCAGAAGAAAGATGAGGCTTTCTGCTCCCATAAAGATTTACAGCCTCGGAAACCCTGTGCAGGGTCACTATGAGTCAGAACTGACTCCACGGCACATACCAACAACAACAACAACAAATAAATTTTATAATAAATCCATTTCAGTATTACATGAAATAAAAAAGATCCCAAAAGGACTAGCATATGACTCAAAATGAATGCGGTCAATATTACTCACATAAAACAACTAATTTTCATGAGCTTTAATTATGTGCCAAATACTGTGATCAATACTTTAAACAGATTATCTGAGCTCACATGGCTCAGTTTCCTCCTCAGTAACATAAGGACAAATGGAATACCTAACCGTCAGAGCTGTCAGGAAGATTAAATAAACAGTTTTATATAAGGTTCTGGGAGCAGTGATGAGGGTACGGTAGGCTTTCAATAAATGTCACCTGTACTGTCATTACAATCTCATTTCATCCTCACGTCAACCCTTTCGAGTTACCATACTGTACGTTTGTTTCACAGACACGTGCACTGAGCCTCAGAAAGGACAAGTAACAGTGCATTGGTTTCTATCCACGTTTCATCTCCAGTTATGGATTCCATCTTGGTTCATTATTCTTTTTCTTTTCCCTCTCAGAAGAATCCAAACCAAACTTCCTTACAATAAATAGATGTATGGCTGTAAAGAAGTCAGTTCATTCTCTTGCCTATTATCAAAGGTTTAAGTTCACGTACTCAAACAGTCATACACACACTCATACACACACACACACACACACAATTACTTTCTGCCACTTCATGTGGTTTTGGAGAGGGTTCCTGTTCCTACAGGGAAAATTAATTCACTTGAACATGCCTACGTATCATTAAAGGTATATAGAAACAGACAACTGTCACCTCAGCCATGACCATGTCTTGGCACTTTTTAATGAATTTCCCTTCTGCCTTGACAATTGTCTGCAGGAACTTGATGTACTGAACGTTCCGACCATGGGTTTCAATGCAGTGAACGAAGTGCTGAACGACTCTCTCGTTGATCTCACTGCAAAGCTGGAAATTGTTCATGAAAATGTGCTGCATCGTTACTGCCTCCAGGATCTGGCACAAATGAGGGGACAAGAGCACAAGAAAAAGATCAAGAGGAGGCTGAAGCAGATTAGAGTAAGAAAAAGAAGCGTCTACTACAAAACAGGAAGAGAAGCATGGAAGCCCATTCATACTTCGGGACTAACTTCTTTTTTAGTAAATTTTCCCAGTGAGATGCAACGAACACACAGAAAAGTAAACAAATCAGTAGTTGTGCGCAGTAAATGGAAATTGAGGAACACCAGTATCTAGATCAAGAAACACCACTGCCCAATCCCAATTGGACCTCAACAACCACATGAGTTTTGCCTGTAAACCTCATGCATTCATTTCTATCTGGCTTCTTCTGTTCAACATGATATTTGTGAGATTCATCCAAGTAGTATAACATATAGTGTAGTTGGTTCAGTGTCACTGTTGTTGTTAAATGCTGTCAAATCGGTTCCGACCCATAGTGACCCTGTATAGGGTTTCCAAGGAGTGACTGGTGAGCTTGAACCACTGACCTTGTAGTTCAAATGGCTTTGCAGTCTGGTGCATCATCCCACAGAGCCACACTAGGACTCCTGCCTATGTACACAAGGAGGGCTTTAAAAGGTTTTGGAGAAAAATCCCATTACCTTTTCATTTTAATTTTCCACAAACTTTCTGAAGCCCCCTCATCTCTCATATATATATCTATTCCTTGGCATGAATCTACCACAGTGGATTTATCTATTGTTCCTGGGCATTTAGGGGAACTATCCAGTTTTAATGATAAGTAGTGATAATACTTGTATTCTAAATATGCCAAATAATACCACTCTGAACATTTGTGTATGTATCTTCTGATAAACTGAACATACTCATTTCTATGGGGCTGTGTGTGGGCTCCTAGTGAATGAATGCGTTTGGCCTTAGAAGCTAATACCAAACAACTCTGGAACTGCATTAACAATTTACATTCTCACCAATTTGCATTCTACATCACTACTGGTCCATTTCCTTGCCAATATTTAGTATTGTCCATCTTTTTAATTTTAGTCATATCTTCTTAGGCCTTTAATTTGCATTTGACTGCTGCCTAATGTCAGATTTTTTTGCCATTTGAATACTCTCTTCAATGGTTTTGACGCCAGTTTTTGTTGATTTTTAAAAAGGATTTTAAAATGCATTATTGTTTTGAGTTTGCTATGCATTTCAGAATAAGTTCTCTATTGAACAAGTGTTCCTCCACTCTCTGGCTTGTTTTTAGATGTCCTTAGTTACATCATTTGATTAAAGGAAGTCCTTACTTAGGATGATGTCCACTTTATCACTACTTCCCTTTTCAATTAGTGCTCTTTGCACTAAGGAAATTTTGCTTACTTCGTGATCACTAAAGAAAGTGTATTATCTTCAAAAATTAGTTTTTACTTTCTGCCTAGAACAACTGAGTTTTATGTTTGATGAGAGGTAGGGGATTTTACTCTTTTCATCTCTTATCTTTTATTTTCTCTTTTCATGACAGAAAGGAAATGTTATCCTGTGTCAAAGAGAGAAATTGATAGTGGATAATCTTGCTTTGGGAGCCCTGGTGTGGCACTGTGGGATAAAGCAGTGGACTACAAGATCGGTTTGGACCACAAGATCGGCATTTTAAACTCACCAGCTGCTCCTTGTAAATCCTACACAGGGTCACCATGAGTGGGATCCGACCGATGGCACTTTAATAAGCTTTGATTTTAGGGTTTTCTTATCCAGGAAACTAAATATTCATTTCAAAGAAAAGCCTGACCAAAGTTAACCTACGAACAGCTTTTCTTTCACCCCAAGTTATAAATCCTTTCTTTCCAGTTCAAAGTATTATACTTGAATTTCAAAAGCTAAGGTTGCTGGGGGGCCAGAGACCATCCTATGACTGGATGACCTATGACCTCAGCAAACCAGATAGGCAGGTTCTTTCAGTCAAGCTTGGCCAAGATTAGTCAACGGCTGATTAACTCTCACTTCTCTTCCTAGGAGTCCTGGCAGGGCGCAGGAGGATAAACACTGGAACACATAGGTACGTGTTTGAAACTCACCAGCTGCTCCTTACAGACCCTACAGAATCACTACACACCTTAAACAACTCAACAGCACTTAACCACCCTGTTTTTTCAACCCTTCTCTTCCTAAGCTTCAATGTATCTAATTTCTTTGAGTCATAGGCTTTTTCTGGAATCAAAAGACTCTCCCTATATGCAGACAGAATAATTGCTCAGAATAAACAATATGCTCAAATTTTCCTGAGTTTTGATTATTTTTAACACCCATCACTGCTCAGCAATCAACTTTTACGGAAGCTTCCAGCCCTACTAAAACATGTGTGAATGCATACGTACAAGAAAGTCCTGTGTAGTACTGTTCACAAAGCCAAAAACTATATATTGCCTAACTGCCTATTAATAAGAGGAAGGTAAAAATATTAAACTGCAGCCATTCTATGTAATGCCATGGAGTCATTAAAAAAAGAGACAAGGCTATGTGTCTCTGACTTACAAACTGAAACACAAAGTGTTAAAGCAGGAAGTAATGTCCAGCCTGCAGGCTGTATGAGGCCTGAGAAATCATTTGGTCTGGCCCTGCCAAGGCAACCACAGTTCCAGCCAACACATTGTTGTTGCTGTTGTTGTTGTTAAGGGCCATCGAGTCGGTTCTGACTCACAGAGACCCTGTATAGGGTTTCTGAGGAGCAGCCGGTGAGCTTGAACCACCGACCTTGCAGTTCAAACCAACCTTAAGGTCGAACGCTTATCCTACAATGCTACACCACGACTCCAGCCATCACGTTATTGCTGTGGTTAAGTGCCGTCAAGTTGGTTCGACTCACAGCGATCCTGTATAGTGTTTCCAGGGAGCGGCTGGTGAGCTTGAACTGTCAACCGTGCAGTTTGAGCCGACCTTGCAGTTTAGCACCATTAACCACCAGTACCACATCAAGACTCCACACCATCACAATACGGGTGAGTTAATTAAATGTCTGACCAAACATAGCAGGTTAGTTTTTAAATTGATAATTTTGTATGGCGAATGATGTTTAAAAAATTTGTAAGAAAAAGGGTTCCTCACCCTTGTGGTTAAAGGGAAAAAAGCAAAATGAAAAATTAGGTGAGCATGTACTACTGCTGATATTTTTAAAATGTACAATATCTATTTAGTATATTGTTAACTATATATCTCATAAAATAAAATGTGATATGTTTATATGTATATATTATATACTTGTGAAGATAGCAAAATGTAAGCAAAGCTATACCCTTCAATGGTCATGTTCTGTGAGTGAGCCTTAGCAGTACTTTTATCATGCTCATCTTTTAATTTAATAAGGAATTTTATCAGGAGAAAAATATACCATGCCTTGTCCTACCACCTTTTACCTCCTTGCCCCCCTGCCTCCAACTGCCATAAAAAACGGGGAGTATTTTTGTCTTAAAAGTTGATCAAAATGTTCTCTTTTGGAATGAATGTTGCATTATAACAAGTCCCAGAAGCCACAACTAACGGCAGAACAAGTTGTTCTTCTTTCGCTCTTCCTGCCTACTCCCCACCATGATTTCCAGACAGGCCTGACGTCTTACCCCTGGGTTGAGAAACAGGTTTATGTGTTTGTGGAGCAGAGCTTGGTTCTGTTGGTTGCCTGCGCAGAAATTCTGCAAGAATTCATGGGCCAGCCTCATTATTTCCTGCATTTTGGTGTCTTCAGCCTGTGTGAGAGCAGAGAGGAGAAATGACTTAAAAAAAAAAACAGGGTTGCTCGGGAGACAGGAAAAGGCTAGGCTCCATCATCCCTCCTTCACCTCCCACTAAATGTGGGATCGGGAGGTGCTTGCTGAGGGTCTGCCAAGTGTCCGGTACTGAGGCACAGCATGGCTGACCCAGAAAAGCATCAAGTAATGTGGTTCATACTTCAATGATACAAACAAATCTTCTCTTCGTCAGAAACAAAAAGGTTTTATTCAGGAAAAAGGAAACCAACAAACTCAGTTTCCCCTGACATTGGTTATCTGTTCAGAATGATGGGAACGGTAATGGATGGATAATATGATAAACATAACCAATATCACTGAACTGTGTATGTGGAAGGCACTGAAAAGGAAAACTATCTGTTAAATACAAGGGGACTTTGAAAACTTCATGAAAAAATTTATCTTTTAATTCAATTTTTCCATGAACTTTCTGAAGTCCCCTTGTATATAATTACCATATTAAAAAGATAAAAAGGCAACACAAATGCCTAACAAAGAGCAAAAGACAACAATAGTGACCATCCCATATGAATGTCTTGAGGATTAAATGAGCTAACTATTGATGTTGGTGCTGCACCGTGAGGCTGATTCCGACTGATGTTCATGTCATCAAGTCAGTTCCGACTCAGAGAGACTCCCAGACTGTAAATCTGAGTGGCTCACACTGCCAACCTTGTTGTTGGAAGTCCAGTGTTTATCCTATATGACAAGTAGGACTGCTCCATAGGATTTCCTAGGCTGTAATCTTTATGGGGAAGGAGTTCTGGTAGCATAGTGGTTACAAATTGGGCTGTAAACCTCAAGGTCAGCAGTTCGAAACTACCAGCTGCTCCGCGGGAGAAAGATGAGGCTCTCTGCTCCCATAAAGATTTACAGCCTCAGAAACCCTGTACAGGGTTGCTATGAGTCGGAACTGACTCCACGACACACCACAACAACAACAATCTTTATGGAAACAGATTGCCATCTCTGTCTCACATGGAGCAGCTGGTGCATTCAAACCGGGGGACCTTCAGTTAGCAGCTGAGTACTTCACCACTAGGCCACTAATTAACTCCTAATGAGTTAATTAGTATAAAGGATTTAGCAGATTGCCTGGCAACTTGCAAGTATTCAAATGGTCACTAGGCAGTAACTTTGCACTAAAAAGTTGGCCTCTGGGGCAGTCTCTTCTGAACTTGAGTCCCCAGACTAAGACCTTGATCTCAAAAACCTCTCCAATGGGAAGACCACCACTCACCTCACTGGGGTTTATGAGGTATGAATGGTTTCTTTGACACAAAATGTAAATCTAAGTCCCACCCAACTGTCTTTTGTATAAACAATAAAAGTGAGCGTGAAAAACAAGATACAAAGGATGCCTGCCAATATAAAAAAATATTTAGAACAAAGTGTCCCCTGATCCAAGAACTTAACGAGATGTCAGCACAGTAGTAAGGATTTCACAAGTGAGTACACACCAAGTTCCTACACACATTTCACAACTCGTCCATCGTAAAACTGTCCCAGGGAAGCACTAACAGAACAGTTGCTGGTTTAGTCTACATAGAGACACCTCCAAAGAAAATCTTGGCAATCAAATTCCAAAAATTCAGCTGCTGAAAAGTCTACCCTGATATGCGTAGGGCCACCATGGGTTGGATTCAATTCAACCGTAACTAATGGGTGGGGGTGCTTACATTGCTTGAATATTATTGTAGGATACTGGACAGCATCTTCTCAGGCACAAACATAGCTCTGCCCATCAACTCGTTAGAGATAGACCGAGTGCCTCTACTGAACACGGCTTGGGATTGAGGGCAGAATCAACGCTGTGATATAGGTTAGTTGTTGGGCTGCTAACCATAGGTTAGTGGTTGAAACCTACCAGCTGCTCCATGAACAAAGATGAGGCTGTCTGCTCCTGTGAAGATTTACAGCCTCGGAGACCCTACAGAGGGTCACTCTGCGTCAACTCAGTAGCAGTGGATTTGTGGTTTGTTTTCATACTTCCCTTAATCTTAAAATGGGAGAGGGGTTGTTTATGGGTGACTCTCACTTTATTTGTAAGAGTACATACTATGTGTTTCATATCCAATAATCTGAAGGGAAAAGGAAGATACATGCTTAGGGGTGATGAAAATTCCTGGGAACAGTATGATGAATGTAACTTCTGTCAATGAAATATACACATGAAGATTGTGGAAAATGTTCTGTTGACAATATAACAATCATGATTTAAAAGAAAATTGTTTGAAACCACATTGTAACACTCTTTGTCCATGAAAATAGCTGGCATTGATGGCTTAAGACATTTTGACCCTAATAAATAACTTCTTATATCAAAATAAAAATCTTCATCTTAAGCTGTTTTTCAGGTCCAGGAGTCTCATCAGCTTCATTTCTTCCCCAGCAGCACCCCAACATAGAGGGTTTGGAGGCCCCAGGTGGGCACCCTCACCTTCTCATAGGGGATCTGTAGTAACTCCAGTACAACAGCGTGGGCGCCCATGTTGCGGAGCAGCCGCTGCTGCTGTTTCCGGCTCTTCCTAACCGAGGTACTCTCTTGGACGCAGAGCTTGCTAAGTCGAATCAAAATCTGGTAGGAAGAAAGAAATCAGCCTGAGAAAATCATAACAGAGATGTCATGAGGTGGTAGGGGGCAAGAAGGCAAAGAGGACCGTTTATATATATAGCATAGCCACGTAAGACTGAGAATAATCAATGAATGTGATTATCACAGAACATGGGAGCACGTCAGACAGACAGCTTTATAGCAGTGGTGTGGCATCACTACCAAGGACTTGGACAGACTTTGCTCTGGGGTAAAAAACAAAGCAAAACACACACACACTAAGCTACCAATCCACCAGTTTTGAACTGCCCGATGGAAAGATTCCTAAAGAAATACAGTTCTCAGTGATGAGCACTGTATGCCAGGCACTGCGATAAATCCTTACAATTACATCAACTTACTCCTTCACTTAATTTCGAAACCTTCAGAAGTAGGCAGTACTGGCTGCACATGATAAGTGAGGAACCTGAAGCCACAACACTGAGGACCCCAATCAGGCACTACAATTCATGAACTCAACCTCTGAGCTCTACTTTCTGTGACTCAGCAGAAGGAAGGAAGGAAGGGAGAGAGAGAGCCAGGGAGGGAGGAGAGAAAGGTGGGAAAGGTGACAATGAAGAGAGAGTGAGGACCTCAATCAGGCACTACAATTCATGAACTCAACCTCTGAGCTCTACTTTCTGTGACTCAACAGAAGGAAGGAATGAAGGAAGGAGGGAGAGAGCCAGGGAAGGAGGGAGGAGAGAAAGGAAGGAAAGGAGGGAAAGGTGACAAGGAAGAGAGAGTGAGGGTGGCAAGACAGGAAGGAGGGAAGGAAAAACATCTGCACTTTCAACTTCAGGATCACCAACTACAGCTCCCTAGAGAATTACTGAAGAAGGAACAAGGGCAGAAGGCTGGCTTACCTCTTTTACCACCCTGTAGTTGTAGCTGCTGGTACTTTCATGTTTTTGTGACTTATTATTCCCCTCCTAGGAACCAAAATGAACATAATTGTGTTTCGTACAACTCTATGTAGAGGGTTGGCATTACCCTTTACAGAAACAACAGCAACAACAAAAACACCACACACCAGTTTTGCACGCTGGTTTATGCCCCAGTCATTTCCTTGCTCACCCTCAACATTTTTATGACTGACAGGGAGAAGACAAGTGGGCCAGGGTGGTACAAATCACACAAAACTAAGTCTACTACACAGGACCCAAGGTAGCATGGTGGGCAGAGGCAAGCTTCAGTTTTACACCGATTTCCTAGAAGACCAGCCATACTACTGGCTGTTCAACAGGAGGTGGTCTTAGGAATAAGGCCCCACCTCTAGCCTGCACTTATACCTAGCGTTAGATCTGCACTGACAAGGTGCAATGCCTGTCGCACGCACCTCTGTTTTCTTATGCTCGTTTTCGCCAGATGCTCCATCCATTGCTTCATCAGGACCCTGCCCTTTGTACACCCAGAGTTCTGACTTCTCCACGATGGACCTCAGCTGATCCAGGTCTTGTTTGATCTGTTTGTAGTTGTCCACATCTTGGCTGGTGACAAGCAGCTGGACCTGAATGAAGGTGGTAATCCATTAGTTGTGTACGACAGCCTCCTTGACAGACAATGCACACAGGGCGAGCTGGCTACCTGCTTGAAGGCTTGCAGCACCTCCTGCCTCTGGCTGAAGTGCCGGAAGAGCAGCTGCAGGGCCCCTGACACCAGGGGCGGGTAGTCGTGCATCGTCAAGTGGAGCAGGACCCGAAGGAAGGTCCTGCCGCCATGATCGTCCAAGTCCAAGGGGGTGTTCTCCTCACTGCAAGAATTGGAAGGATGGTCAAACAAAGCACTCAAGACCTTCTCTCAGGTATCAGGGCCCAAACAAACCTAAGCCAGTCAGAATGCCCCATCTCCCAAAATTTTTTAGCTAACTTTTTATTGTGAATTAGGTGCAGGTTTACAGAGCAGATCATCAGTTTTATATTCAACAATTTCATCTCATTGATTGCAATCCCTTAAATGTCATCACTTATCACACTTCCTCCTCGTGCTTCCTACTTCCACCCCTCCTTCTTTCTCAACTGTTCTGAACTTTGTCCTTAGCTAAGCGGATGCTGCTCACTGGTTCAAAGGGCTGATTATGTGATTGTTCCCTTATAGAGCTATTGTTGGCCTAACATTCAGTCATTGGAGTGAGTTCAATTCCAGACTTGAAGAGTGACGAAGAGGCCATAGGCTTGGGGTTCCGTCCGTCTCTAGTCAACCAGTAAGCATGGATTTTGTAATACTATATTCTACCTCATGGGACTTGACTTTCCATGACTTTTCAAAAACGCAATCTTGTTCTATCTTCAACTATAAATGAGGAGGCAGTTAAGAAGTCACAACTGCCATATTGTGAACTAAAGTGCCTAGCCTCCCACAGTGATAAGACTGGCTTTGTAACTTGGGTCATAAACTCCCAATTTGCTGGGCCTTCACTGTTGTCACACAACCGCAGACAGTTGCGATGCTCATGAGTTCTTACTTGCTTTATTTTATTAGTTATCAACTTAGACTCGTGGCAAACCTATGTGCAGAATTGTGAGTAGCTCATTTGTTTTAAAAAAATAGATCATCAGACCTTTCTTCCAAGGCAACCCTAGGTGAACTTGAACCACCAACCTCTTGGTAAATAGCCAAGTGTGTTGATTGATTGCACCACCCAGGATATTGTATTTTTATTTAGGATGCTGTTATCCAATGCTTATCAAACTATATGCTGTAAAGGACCAGTTTTCTTTCATTTCAACCTACAGTAGACTAATACTCTTGGTCTGTATTGTTTTCAACAATATGAGCCCTGCGTTTGATGCCACCGCAATGTCAAATTGTCAGAGAAGTATCTTGATGTGTACTCTCATATTCTGTCCTTATTTTATCAGAAATTGGTGGCAACACAAGCTCACATTCATGCACTGGCCACATTTTGAAAAGAACTACCATAAACCATTATAATTTAGTGGTTTTCAAAATGGAATGAATCAACATAATATCAGGACTAGCTCAGTGGTAACATTTCTACGTTCCATGCGGGATACTCAGGTTCGAATCCTACCATATCTGGAGGCTCATGTGTTGCTATGACTCTGAAGAGGTTTCAGTGGTAGCTGACAACAGCAGTAGCTCAAAAGTTGGGTTATCTTGTCTTATTTACACAATTAGAAAGTTAATAAAAGCATATCCTGGATCAAAATGGCAGACCACCCCATCGCTGAGCACCACCTCCAATTACTGTGTCAGTGTCTGAGCTATGAACGCCAGATAGTAAGGCTTTCGTGGAACAAAAAAAGCACAGAGAGCATTTGTCAACAACGTATTCGTGCTCCCAAAAGTAAGCACAGTGTGCCACGTGAAGAGGACTTCCCTGCTGTTGAGTGTGACAAAAATGGCGGCAGAGCTGCAGACAGAAGCATCTTCATGTTGAACTCAGGGCATGCCATGTAAGTTTCAGAAAAACGCCATCTCCCTCTATCATGAATAAAAGTGCTAATTCCAATGCCAGGGGTTTTATTTTTAGTATTGAGACAGACTGCTAACATTGGTACTCCTTAAAGAACTAGGCCTTCTTTAGTCACACCCTTCCGTAGTCCCTCCCACACTGACAAGGCTTGACCATGTGATTTTCTCTGACCAGCATGACACTGGCAAACACAACAAAAGCATAGGATTGGCTAGTGGTTGTGCATCATCAGTTTATCCAATTGAAATGTTGGCTCTGGGAGTTAGCCATCGTGTTATAAAGAATCCCAAGCCACTCACATGGAGAGAGATTAAAATGAGGTCCCAGCATACCAGACATTCCCACCAAGGTGTCAAAACTGTGAGCACAGTTAGCTGGTATGCACTCTCTTACGGGAGTCCCACGAGAGACCCTACTGAGACCAGAGTAGAAACAACCAACTCAGCCCCAGTCAACCTGAAGAATGGCATGGTCACAGATTCAATCTATGAAGTCATGGAGTAGTTACTTATGCAACAATAGCAACCCAAACCTAGTATATAAATTATAAGAGCTATGCTTATAGAGTGTGTATGCCAAGTCTCTTGCTTGTAGATAGTTAAGTCTCATAGCAAGAATATTGTAGTCAGCACTGAGCAATCTGATCTTTCAAGAGGGGGGGTGAGAATTTATACATTACTCTGATGTTAGGAGCAAGCCAAGAACAGATTGTGTTTACACAAAGAGCTTCTAAGCAGTTCAGGGATAAAATTGTAGCCTATTATTCATTCTGTTGTACACAGGGTCACTATGGGTTGCAATCAACTCAACGGTACCTAACAACAACAGCAATCCACAAAAGTACAAGATCTTACTGACTTTCACTCTGTTTTCAACCTCACCCCATTCCTTCTCTTGCCTCTCTTTTACTCATCATGTAACATAGTTATCTTGAGAAACCTCACTAAATCCTTTTGGTTGTAGAAGGAAGGAGCTCTAGTGGCTTAGTGGGTTATGCGCTGAGCTAATAACCACAGGTTAGCAGTTCAAACCCACCAGCTAGGGAAGAAAGATGATGTTATCTGCCTTGGAAACCAGAAGGAGCACTTCCACTCTGTCCAAAAGACTCACTATTAGTTGGAATCTATCCAATGGCAATGGGTTTGGTTCTTTTTTATTGTTGTTGTTGTTAAGTCCTGTGAGGACTATAATATAAGCACTGAACTCAGAACCACAAGGTTGGCAGTTCAAAACCACCAGTTGCTCCTTAGAAACCCTGTACAGATCGATATGAGTTGGAATCAACTCAATGGCACTTAACAACAACAACGAGAACACACACACACACACCAGGCCAATCAGATGTTACTGACTTGAATATTCAAGAGTTCTCAAGACAGCACTAAAATAAAGACCTAGTCCAGCGACTACACTGGGTTCAAATCTACCAACCACTCCTCAAAAACCCTATACAAGGTCACTATGAGTCAGAGCCGACTTGACGGCACCTAACAACAACAATTACCATATAGAAGGAAAAGTCTTTGAGGACTATGTACAAATAGCCTTCTAAATTCTAGAACCATCTAGAAAACAGTAACTGAAAATATACTTTCCTTCCTCCAAAGATGCCTTCTGCTTGCTCTTCAATGTGTTCAAAGTCAAGAGCACCTGAAAGTTAAAAAGATAACTTCAGATGTAGGAAAGTCTGAAAACATACTGCTGATGAACCTACTCCAACACAGCACTGCCCATGCGCCTCCGCTAATCTCAGATCTTCTAGGATTATATATGAGAGAGCTTCAGCTAGTGCATGGGTAATAGAATTAAAGGACAATGGAATTTTTCCATGTGCTTTTTGAAGTCCCATTGTATTGCAAGCAAAGCGATGAAGACAGGTTGACTAGATGACATTAACCAATGTCTCTGATTTGCAGAATCCCACACCCATACCATTCTCTACTCATTGCATAACAGTTTCATCCTAAGGAAATTTAGGGCCTGAGAGCTGTCATTATTTCTACGACCTAACCCTTCAACACTATGTCCTGAGCAGGGAGAGACTTCTACCACTAATAAAAGTTGTTGATGGGCTATAATGTTTCTTGTCAAGTTTTGCTTTGTTTTGGTACTTCTTAAATAATCACAACACTACAAGTCTCAGCTGTTTCAAGACTAGGGCACTCTGAGATGGAAAGAAGATTTATCCATGAAAGAATCTGGGCTCTAACAGTCCTCTATCCCAACAGGATACCTCCCAATGTCTTGTTTTAAAAAAAATACAATCATCTCACACACTACCCACTGTTTCCAGAAGCACATTTAGAAAAGATGCTGCTGGGATTCCCAGGGCCGACATCCCCTTCTGGAAACACTAACCTGGTACATTACTTGGTCCCTCTTGGCTGCTGCTTCCGGAGGATGTTTCTGAGGTCTGGGAATTGCTTTCATCAAACTCCCGCTTAAATATACACAGGAGGCAGGAGATCCTATAATCCAACCTCACATTCAAAATAAACTAAAGATTCAAGTGGAAATGGAAACAGATTTGGTTACATTAACATACCACCTTTTGCGCTTTGCCAAGCCATCACACTCTGGCTGGGCCTGGTATCAGCTACATCTTAAGCACTAAGTGAGCCAAATGTTTAGTTTAGATTTCAACAATCACTTAAACAATAGCAGACTTCCATGGGGCAGAACAAGCCTGCCCATAACACCTTAGCTTCTTAAGTAAACTTCAGCATCCGGGCAATTAATTTAACAACTGGAGCACTGAATGACTTACCATTAACCACCACCACCTCCCTCTATAAAAAATTACTCTATTTCAGCAAGCACTGAGAAGGGTGAATGAAGTTGGCTGCTTTTAATTCAGGGAAATTGAGAGAGAAAAATATGTTTTGACTACTGAAAATTAGCTTGGTACATATTTTCTATTTCTGATTGCTTCCTCTGATTTAGCTACTAATTCTTGGGCTCTCTCTTCTTTCACTTCCTATATTCCAGCACAGGGTAACTGGTCCATGACAATTAATTTAACTAGAAAGCAAGATCTACCTGAGCTTCTGTCTGTCATTCTTTTTCCGTTCTCCCTGTGCCTATATTGTCCTCTTAGTAACCTGACCCAATCTCCGAGACAGAGAGTAACTGCTTGAAGTTTTAGAATGACAAAAGGGAAAACCAAGATGGGGATGCAAAGGAGACAGCAATAGCTGGATTAAGCAGGGCCAGTCCCTAGAATAACTAAGGGTTGAGCTAAGCATTTGACCCACTCTTTCTCACTTAAGCTTTAGCGATACATCTAAGCAGAAAGGCTACATTTGAATGGTCCCTCTGTGAAGCATGCCCCCACCAACTCTGGCTGGTGGATACCTGAAGTATCTCAATGATCTTCAGCTTGGTGTCCATGACCATGATGTCCTCCTTCTCTGGTTCTGTCTGCTTCACATTGCCTTCTGGGGCAGCAGCCATGGGAGTCATAGGCAGAAAGCCCCCTCCTCGGAGCACCACCTGGGTCATCAGCTCTCCAACCCCATGGATGGACCTCATCACATTACTGCCTAGGGAGGGCCGGGGAAAGACCGCGGTCACTACAGCATCCACAGGGTGTTCTCCGACACCTGGCCAAGGGCACAGACTCTTAGATGCAGTATCTGACTTGTCCTTGTTCATATATACACTCAAAATCTTAGGGATCTGAAAAGGTAAATACCCATACACATTCTGGATTTCTGGAAGAAAAGTAAAATAAATGTGGGATTTGAACTCCCCAGGAGAGCATTTATGAAAGCGAATTCTCCAGCCAAATTTGATCTATTTTATGTTTACTTGTTGTGTCTAGAACTAGAGAATACAAGAGTTACCAAGGCATAAATCCACCAACAATGCTAGAACTGTTTGATCTATACACAGACACACACACACACACACACACACGAGTCCTGGTGTGGCGCTGTGGCTTAATGCGCTAGACTTCAAAGCCGTTTGAACTGCAAGGTTGGCGGTTCAAGCTTAGCAGTCACTCCTTGGAAACCCTGTATTGGGTTGCTATGGGTAAGATCCGACTCGACGGCACTTAACAACAACAACAACAATATATATATAAATTACATATATATATAAATTACATATACATATACATAGTTTATATACATATGGTGGTGGCTGTGTGCCATGGAGTGAGTTCCGACTCATAGTGACCCTGTACAGGGTCTCCAAGGCTGAAAATCTTTATGGGAGCAGAAAGCCTAATCTTTCTCCTGCGGAACAGCTGGCCGTTTCAAACTGCTGACCTTGCAGTTCACAGCCCGATTCGTAACCACTACGCTACCAGAGCTCCTTATGAGGAAACTCAGCCTCGGAGCTAATATCTATATTAGCTCCGAGGCTGAGTTTCCTCATTTATAAAGAATTGAGGCACTCAACACTATGATTATATGGCATAATGTATGCAAAATTATTTAGGGTAGTAGGACCTAGCAAACACCGGGTGGTAAGTAAATGTACATTTGTTATAGTTACAATTTTGGGTCAACTTGGCTGGGCCAGGATTTCCAGTGATTTAGCAGTTAAGAGGAAGTTATCCTCCCCATGGTGGTGTGCTGTGGAATTGGTTCCAACTTATATCAACCCTGTGTAGGGTTTCCAAGGCTGTAAATCTTTACAGGAGCAGAAAGCCTCATCTTTCTCTGGCAGAATGGCTCGTAGTTTCGAACTGCTGACCTTGAGATTAGCAGCCTGACTCGTATCCACTACGCTACCAGAGCTCCTTTATCATCTCCATGATTAGGTCTAATATGATGCAATCACCCAATAATGTGATCAAATGTGATCTAATTATCCTATGTGTTGTAAATCCTCACTTCAGTGATGTCCTGGTGTGGCACTGTGGGATAATGCACTGAACCACAAGATTAATTTGAACCACAAGGTCGGCAATTGAAACTCACCAGCAGCTCCTTGGAAACCTTATATAGGGTTATCAGTTGGAACCGACTCAACATCATTTCACAACAACAAATGATGTCAATGAGGCCAAATGCATCTACAAGATTAGGTTGTATCCCAAATCTCTTTTGAGATATAAAAGGAGAGAGAAGGGAGCAGAGCTCAGAGGGACCTATTACTGCCAAGATAGAAGACCCAGGAGTGGGGTGCCTCCTTTGGACCTGGGCTCCCTGCACTACGAAGCTCCTAGATCCAGGGGAAGGTTGATGTCAAGATGTATGGAGACCTCCAGGGAATGCTGGGCCTACAGATGCTGAGAGAGGACAAGTACCTTTCTGCAAAGCCTAGAGTCAGCACTCCTAAACTGTGAGAAAATAAATTTTTGATTGTTAAAGCCATCCATTGTGATATTTACATTATAACAGCGTAAGACAGCATTCAATCCTCATTATTCAGATTTCAAATTTGTGCATTCGCCTAATACTAACATTTATTTGCAACCTCAAATTCAATACTCATGGTGTTTTCATGGTCATTTGCAGACATGTACAGAATGGGAAAAAATAAAGTGAGTCAACCAATGGGCATGTTCTCAGCTAAGGCTGAACACGCAGGTGCTTTGCCTTCTTGTTTTAGCTCTCACACTGTAAACAAGTGTACATTATGTGATGAATGCAGTGCCTCATTTTTGGCATTTTTGTGGGTTTTGCTGGCTGTTTTGCTGTTTTAAATGACCCAGAAGCATTAAGTACTGTCCAGTGTTCCTAATTGCAAGAAAAGTGATGTGCTTTAGAGAGAAAACATGTACATTAGATATGCTTTGCTCAGGCCTGAGTTATAGTGCTGCTGACCATGATGTCAATGTTAACAAATCAACAGTATTTATTAAACAAGACGTCTTTAAAGAGAAACACACATAAAACAAGTTTATATGTTGGTCAGTTGACAGAAATGTTGTGACTAGAGGTTCACAGAAACCTAACCCTGGATTTCCCCTAGGAATAGTGATTCAGAGTTCCTGGTGACTTCAAATAATGAGAAATGATTGTAGCTTTTCTGTTCTAGGTACAGAGGATCAGGTAAACAATCACCAACATATGAACACCTAAAATGTGCCTAGTTTGACCCTTATTAAAGCAGCAGTAAAAAAATGAACAGGTGAGGTCAGACTTTCCTGTTTACAAGGAATTCACAGAGGAAAAAAATGAGATATCCAGACACAAGCCAGGATTTTATACTACCATAAACTCAAATCAAGGGACTCAGGACACCATCAAGAACAATGAAGGACATATATTTTTAAGAGATAAACAGTTGAGTAGTTAGGTAACTTTCAAATGGTTCAGTAAAAGATATAAATATACCCATATAACACACTTAGACGTTAAGTATAATATGCACACAGATTTTAACAGATAAAAGAACTACAGAAAAATGTTTGTAATCGCTGAATCTAAGTTGTAGGTATAGGGCATTCCCTGGACCATTCTTTCAGCTTTTCTTTTCTTTCTCTTTGAAAATGTTTATGATGACAAGTTGGGAAAAGAACAATGGAAGGCATGACACCACGTGCCAAGAGTAGGAAGAACATTAGACACTGGGAGGACATGAACAGATGAACACTCTTCAGCTTCTACCTGTCGTTCTTACCTTTATTCTCTTCTCCTTTAGCCATCTTGCTAATGGGGAAGATGGTCGTCACATGCACACAGTCTAATATGGCCAGGAGGATCTTGGTTAATCGTAGAAGGTCGGAGAAGTTGTAGAAACCAAAGTATATCAGATTCCTTGCTAAGTTTACAACCTATTGCATTAAAAGAGAGAGAGAGAGAGAAAGTATTAAACAAACTGTATCTTGTCCTTCCAATTGACGTTGACTGATTTGTAAATGATGTTGACCTTTCTGTGGTAAATCATAAGTTATAGAACACCTCCTTTTTTCTTCTCAAACAGAAGTCATATGCAATAAGGGGGAGGTCACACAATAATCAAGGCAAAGGAAGACAATGGGTGGAGCTTAAGAGCTAAATAAAGGCAGCGAAGGTAAATATTATTACATAGATAATTCTGCAATACAGGGATAATGATCTACAGATGGATCCACTGACATGCGAGTGGAAAAGGAGTGGGAAACTGAATGAGACTGTACCCAGGGATGTGTGTGTGTGTGTATGTATAATATATATATACATATATACATACATACATACAGGTCTGACAGACCTTAATTCTGCGTATGTATTCATATGTATTACAAACATATCCATGAATATAGTGAAACATACAGGAACAAAGTTATGAAAACTTTTGAGCTATTACCAAACACAGCGAGGAAATGAGTTGCTGGGCCGGGAACTCAGGACCATAGTTTTGGGGGACACATCAGGTCAACTGGCATAACATAGCCCACAAAAGCTATGTTCTACATTCAAATACAGCGAGTAGTAACTGGGGACTTAAAAGCTTGTGAGGGGCCATCTAAGGTGCAACTACTAGTCCCTCCCCACCAGGAGCAAAGAAGAGTGAAGAAAATCAAAGACTCGTGGAAACAATTAGATGAACAGAAACAGTACGCACAGGGAGGAAGCAGGCAGAATGCTATTTCACTGCTGGGATTGCAATCGAAGCAAAACGTGTACCAACTGTTGAACAGAAAACCCATTCGTCCTGTAAACTTTTGCCCATATCAGAATAAAAAGATTTAGTGATTTTTTTTTTAAAGAAAAAGTCCTATAATTTGCTTGTAACTTCTGACAAAATTTCACTTTGCTTCATAGATAGGAAAAATAAGAAATGAAAGGCTACAGAGCTCCTGGTCTGACTCAGGACTGGTTAATAAAAAACTGACTATGCAGCTTCCCAAAACAATACTTGCCAAGCCACACCATACCCTACACCAGGATAGCAAAACTCTCCTCACAATTACAATTAGCAGAGGAAGAGAAGCACTGAAATATAGCTAAAACAAGTGGTCTCAAGGAGAAACGTTTTAACTCAAAGGCAATAAGGATTTATGTTCCTCAAATGATTTATCAATGGACCCACTCCCAAGCTCAACTGTTTCTTTCCTGCCATTTTTAATATAAACTTCAGAGAATAAGTAATGTTCTATCATTTTACATATGTCAACTTACCATGCTTCTGGTTTCTTCTAAGAGCATACTACTGTTAGGCTAAGTGATTGATACCAGTTTTACCTTTTATGTCAGAGCAAAACTCAGCTGGATTCTTTATTAGTACAAACCCAGAACATCACAATAACAATCACTGTGTGTGATTTTCTACATGCTCCCATAATAAAACGACCACAGAAAATCACATGAAACACATAGTCCCTTGTTATCAAGAGTTACCTCAAATGTGAGCTTATTTTTCTCCTTATCAGAGAAAGGAAACCTCTGGCAGACCACATCTCTCAAATACTCTTCCACAAATTCCATGGTCTGAGCGAACCTCTCCTTGATCTCATCTTTGGAAGTTCCACTACTATCGTAGCTAAAAAGGAAGGAGAAAGACAAGGAGATTGCATTTCCAGTCCCTCCTAGTGAGGCTTTTCCTGGTTGTTCAACTTTAAAATTCAACACTTTCCTTTCCAACACTTCCCATCCCTGCCCTTTGTTGTTGTTGTTGTTAGGTACTATCGAGTTGGTACCAACTCATAGCGACCTTATGCACAGCAGAACGAAACAGTGCCTGATCCTGGGCCAACCTCACTACTGTTGCCACGCTTGAGTGCATTGATGCTGCCACTTGGCCAATCCATCCCGTTGGGGGTTTTCCTCTTTTTCTGTGACCCTCCATCTTACCAAACCTGATTACTCTGTTTTTATTTTCTTAACACATAGTGGTGGTGGTGGTGCTGGGCTATTGAGTCATAGTGACCCTGTAAAGGGTTTCCCAAGCTGTACAACTTTGTGGGAGCAGAAAGCCTCTTGTTTCTCCGATAGAATGCTGTGAATTCAAATTTCTGACCTTATGGTTGATAGTTCAATAGGTAACCCACTATGCTACCAACATCTCCCCCATATATGTAAGTACTTTACTGGTTTATGTTATTTTGAGATTGTCTTGCCCTACTCTTGAAGGATTGTTTTCTATACATTCTGATTCCTGATATAATCTTTGAACCATACATGTAATAGACACTTAGATATTTGTTGAATGAAGGGCTAAACAAGATGTCAAAAATACAGGCATAACTGTAAATACAATAGATCTCTCTTCAACCAAAAAATTGTTTGAAATGAAAATAAAATACCATCAGAAAAAAAAATAGTATTTGTCATCCATTCTATGAAACTCATAAATATTTTGAGCTTAAAGAAAAAAGCAATTCATTGTCCTCAACCCATATCCAGATTTAACTTGACATATGTGATTTATCTAACTGCTACAAAGAACATTAAAATAAGAGTTTTTAAAGTAACACGAAGGTGTCTTGGTGATGCAGTCACTAAGTGCTTGCCTGATAACAGAAAGGCTGGTGGTTGGACGCCACCGGCAGCATCATGGGAGAATGTGCTTTTGTAAAGGTTACAACCCAGAAGGCCCAGGGACTAGCTCTACTCTATCATATAAGGTCAGTGTGAGTTGGAATCAACTAGATGGCACACAACAACAAGGTTAACAGGAGGTCTTGGCAGTAAGAGGAATCCAGGCTCACTCATCAATGGCGATCTCTGAGGGAATCTCCGACCAGAGGCGGGCATATTTCACGGGAGTGACTTGTTCCTGGGGATCTCGGTCCACATGCATATGAAGCATGAGTCGGCAGAAGGATGCACGGAGGTCATACGGCAGGTTCTCATCGGACATGCAACGGAGAATGAGATCCACATCTAGCTGGCCCGATATCTCATTGATAGCCAGGTACTGACGGTCCAGACACATCCTGGCAAAGAGGTTCAGCTGATACCTGGAGAAGAGAAAAGCCACACCAGGCTCAGTCACCAAAGAGTTACCCAGGATGAATGGAAACACACAGTAGGTTATTCCAGTGCCCCAACTTCATAAAAGTGGCAGCTGATCACAGGAACATAACGTCAAACCCCTCCCTTTAAAGTGCTTTTGTTCATCTAATTTTGTTGTTTTGTGTCAAACTGAAAATAGGGCATTTCAAGTTATCTTACAGAGTATGGGTCAGCCAACTATCACCACATCTAGCCGGCTGAGTTGAAATAATTATGAGACTACTTAGTTCATTTTGTCTTTAATTATCTTACAAAATAAGTGGGAGAACAAATTGGTTAGAGTCTAAGGTGGCTGTCTATTTCTTTAGCTATGTTTTTATATGGAATATTAAAGATAATTTTGAAAACAATGTCTATATTGAGTCTATTTAGAATTTTTTTAATGTTTTATGGATCTTATATAAGTCTATACCTGAACTCTCACACACATGATGCACAAGAGTAGGGGCCTTCTCAAAACGTCTTGGACTTTTCTTGCTTATCCAGTGGGTCTTTAGTAACTTTGTGGGAAAATTCCTTTATCTTTTAATTACATTTTTTTCTTTAACATTATGAAGGCCCCTTGTGCAACTGAATGCGAGTTTTGTTAACTTCAAATCCTAACCAGTTGACAGACTTTATCTCTTCCACTCTTGGGAATCGATTCATCAATCATTTAGAGAATAAATATATCGACAATGTGAAAGAATAACAAAGTCATAAACTTTCATACTGTCAAATATTGGCTTATGAATTTAAAACCGTAAGAGCCATGGATTTGAAAATATTTTCAACCTTACTTGGTGTCAGTGAAATACAAATTAAAACATGATTCTATTTCACAAAATTAACAAAAATTAAAAAGGCATCATAATATTCTAAGTTAACAAAGATATGAGAAATCAAAAGATCTCATCCACAACCACTGGGAACATACAAAGAAAGATCCAAAGCTGGCTAGCTTAGTAAAGTTTAAAATACACAAATCCTCCAATCTAATAACTCTATTCCTTATATATTTGCACAGACTAATTTGAACAAGGCTCTGCCCTAACATGGAAAACTAAATTGTAGTATGGAGTATCAGACAGCAATGAAATGTGGTATGTTAATTATAATGGGTTAATTTTAATTTAGAAGTTAAAATTGAAGAAGTGAATTTACATCTTTTTACATGGGCTCCTTTATAAGTCAGTACTGAATGAATAAGGCAAGCTACAGAATTACGAACTTTATTGTACCAATTCACAGAAAAATTTAAAAGCAGACAGAATACTGTATTATTTATATGGATGCAAACAAATGCAGGAGAAATAAGGATGCAGAGTATGGAAGGGTACACACACTACATGCATGAATGAGAGAGAAGAGACCTAAGAAAGGGTATTTATTTTAAACTACTGGAAGCATTTCTTCATCTTCCCTTTTCTTTCTCCTACTTTTCTCTTAAATTATTTATTGGTTCTCTTCCTTTCCTTTTCCTGCACTTCCCTTGTGACAAAAAGGCCAGTAGGCCTTAGAGCTGGGGCAAAGGAGGCACTTGGGACAGAAGAGGTGGAGCTCAGATACAAACAGTGGGAGCAAACAGGGAAACATACTGAGTAAGTAAAATGGCACCTAAGTTACACAGTGTTGAAGGAGGAAACTATAAATAAGCGAAGGGTAAAGACTAGAATACAGAGACACTGGCAGAGCAATGGTTAAAGCCTAACCAGGTCAGTGGATTGGACCCACCAGCTGTTTCTCATGAGAAAAATCAAACTGCTTCCATAGAGATTTAAGACCCTGGAAGCCCTGTGAAGGTAGTTCTACTCTGTCATGTACAGTTGCTATGAGTCAGAATCGAGTCTACAGCCATGGGTTTCATTTGGGTTTAAAGACTGGATTTAAGCTTATGGTGTTAAAATGGAATTGCAAATACTGCATGAATGATCTATGTGTATAGATAGAGATACAAATGTGTGTGTATATGTAAAGAGATGAATAGGACTAGGTTGATGTTGTAGGCCTGTGAATGGATTCTGACTCATGACAAAGTAGAACTGCCCCAAAGAATTTCAAGGTTAGAATCTTTATGGGAGCAGATCATCAGATCTTTACTTCTAAGGGCAAGTTGGTGAGTTTGAACTGTCAAGCTATCAGTTCACAGGCAGGCATTTAAACACTGCACTGACAAGCTGCTTACGGAAATATAGATATATGACTATGTATACACACATACACTTCCTAGCTCTGTTTACAAAAGTTCTGAGGTTGGCACTATCATGAGTATCTTGCAAAGACAACAATTGATGTGCAAAGAAGTACACAGCTTGACTTAAGTAATAAAGCTAATTAGTGGTGAGGTCAGGATTTGAACCTGCAGTCTGACCCCATAACCTAACTCTTCATGTGTGGCATGCTCTTTAGGGCCCAACTTATAACTCAGAGCTGATGCAAGGATTCAACCTTCTTTGGACCGTGTCATATCTAGCTGTCAATTTACTAGCTCGGTATCAATGAAATTCTCCTAAAATACACATTTGTCTGTGCTAGGAAAACATTTCAGACGATCCCTGTACTTCCATGGAGTCGTTGAACAAATAGGTAATAAATACCTAACCGCCACCCTCTGGACTACCCCAAGCCCAGTCCAGCACACAACCCTTATTCTCACCTGTAGTAGCTGAGAACATCTCGGTCCTCCTTCTGCCCTTCCTTAGCATCCTGTGCCAGCTCCCTGACACTCTTACTGCGGATCTCCTTGTTGCTGTCCCTCCAAAATAACCACACCTCCTCCTCATCCTCTCCTGCCTCCAGAACATTCTCTCCAGTAGAAACACCTTCAAATTCAAAACGAGACAGAACCAACCTGGGAACGAAGAGGAGGATGGGAAATTCATTATTTCTTTTCTCTGTATTTTATACACTATAACATAATTTATCCCACTTTCTCCCTGTGTTCCTTCTTTCCATTTCTCCTTTCCCAGCCTTTGTGAACTTTGTCCTTGGGTAAATACTGCCCTTTTGATCTCAAATGGTTGACTATTCTATGATGGGAGTACCTCACTAGTGTTGGTACCCCCTTCTATAAGATCTGTCTATTGCTTGACTAAAAATTGAGCCTTGGGTTAAGTTTAGTTCCAGACCTGAAGAGCCACTTCTATCTGACCAGTAAGTCTGGTCTGTTTTATTATTTTGAGTTTTGTTCCACATTTCTTCCAACTCTATCCAGGACCATCGAATGTGATCCTTTTCAGAGCAATTAGCAGTGGTGGCTGGGCACCACCTTGTTCTTCTGATCACAGGGTTGTGAGACTGATTTTCCGAAAGTCCATTACGTCACTGGACTAATTGCTTCCATGTGTTTTCAATTTTCATCACTCTTGATACTGCAGAAGAGCGGGCAACACCTCTAGAAAAGTTGCACCTGACATGGCCATGCTTTTTTTTTTTTTTTAATGAGGTTTTTATTGTAGATTGAGTGAAAGTTTACAGGGCAGATCATCAGTTTTACATTCAACAAATCATACACCCTGTTTCATTACAATGATTACAATTCCCTCCATGTTCTATCAGTTAATGGTATTTCTCTCTATTTACTTTAGCTCTGGTTTTTCTTTTTTAAACACTCAGGCATATATAATAATTTATACCACCAAAAGGCACATTCTGCAAGTCTGCCTCCTGGCCACCAGCTCTTAATCCCTCCCTTCCCATGAATCTAGAGTCCTCCGCTGCTCCCTCTCTCCATGTCCCCATCTCTGCCTCCATCTCTGGTGTCACTGCTTCTCTGGATAAGGTCCCACATTCCACTTGTGCTCTTCTCCCTTGATGGTCCTAGGGCCCTCTGTTTCTGGACTGTAAGATTAACTATTTGCCCATTTTTGTTACAAAACTTCTACCGTTACAATTGTGACAGTCGCAATTAGTCGTGATAACAATTGCTTACTATTGAATCGTAAGAATCTTATCCCTATCTCTTTTAACCAGACCCATCTGGACAAGATGAAAACTATTCAGTGGTGACTTTCTTACCCCCAAACTATTAAACTCCCCCCTTGAAACCTTGTAAGCCAGTCATTTCGTGCCTTTATTGCCCCCTTATTTTAGGTAGCCAGTGTCTAAGCTGCCCATCCTTATCTACCCTGTGTACAGACGGGATTGCATTGATACTTGATGTGAAGACTCTTTCCTTCTCTGTTGGTACTTAGAGTTACTACCTCTATGAGTACAGGTCAAGTTCATCAAATTGTAGCAATTTACTCGCATTTCCTTTATCAAAAATTGTTTTGTTTTTCTGTTTGTTTGTTTTATCTTCCTCTAGTCGCGTTCTGATTATCAAGCCATCGAGGATAGGTCAAGTGGGTACTATCTGCAACTTTGGGAGTTCTTGTGCACCTCCTCTCACTCCTTATCAGTTAGATGTTTCACTCTCAGCTCTAGCTCTCTGTGGCTATGTCCTTGCCATGGGCTCAGGTGTCCCCAAGTCTCACCACACTTTGGACCAACCAGTCCTTCCTTCCTCTTCTCTCTCACATCTCCAGGTCAACGGGAGTCTATGGAACATGGTTGAACTCAGCCCATTTCTTCATTGCTGCCTTTCCCCCTCTTTCACTCAGCAGTAGACCAATGTGGTCGTCAGCAAGCTTACATGACTGTTCATGTGTTCCCTTTGAGGTTCAATCTTTAGAGGGGGGTTTGTCCTGAAGGAACTTGATTTATTGCTTGCCTTGATGGCTTCCCGGCAAACAACTTGCATATTCTTGTAGGTAGCCAGTCATACTACCATTTTTGTTTTGGGTTTTTCCAGATGATCTTTCTTTGAAGATGTACGTTCTGTTGCTCTAGCTGTTGCAGGCTGGTACTCATGAGCTTTTAAGATCCCAGTTGCTACTTACCAAAGTAGGATGTAGAACATGGTCTTTGTGGACTATATTAGGCCAACTGACCATGGTGTCCCATAAGACACCGGTTCTGCGTCCCCAGTCCCAGCTACTCATTCACTTGAGATGTGTGGTTATGCTAAAGAAATTTTTATAACTTTACCCAGTATGCTCCTACATACTCATGAAGGTATTTGAACAAAAGGTCAATAATGTACAAATATTTTCTGTCAAACCTATCTATAGACTCCTACTCTACCACCCACACCTGTTCAGCCTGCATGTCCAACCACATATCAACCTAAAGATCATCATTATAGTATGACTGTATATGCATCAATTTACTGGTTACCTTTAATGTTACACTCTTATCAGTGTCTTCCCCATCTCCATCATTTATTTTTTTGACCTCCCTCTTACTCTGTATCACCTTCATCATCTAAGTTAATACTTGTCTATCTTCTAGCCAGTGAATGACATCCCTTTCCTCCAACACCTGGTAACTATCAGAGATTGATTCTTTTAGTGTGAAACTGCCTCTTTATTGTTTTAAAAGTGGTTTCATACACTATTTGTCCTGTTGTGATTGACTAATGTCACTCAGTACAATGTCCTCCAGATTTATCCACGTTATGACGTGTGTTTCACAGATTCGCCATTATTCTTTACTGTGTGTGAGGAAATTAATTTATTTTGGTAATTCTTGCTAATTTGATCAACTACAACAAAGTACTAAAATCCAGCTTCATTATCAATATAAAGACACAAGTAAAACCATTTTATTTGTCTCCCTCACAGGAAAAGTTATAAAAAGACTAGCATTAATGTCTTCATATACATATATATTAATCCAGTAGCTCTCAACCAATGAGTGGTTTCGGCACTCAGAGGATGTTTAGTAATGTCTGGAGATAACTGAGTTTGTCACAAGGCGATGTAATTCTGGCATCTGATAGGTGGAGGCCAGAGATGCTATTAAATATCCCAAAATGCACATCCCTCACAACACGGAATTATTCCGTCAAAAATACCAAGTATGAAGGATGACACATGCTGCATTAACACAAGCCCAAAACTCAATTATACAAGAGAAATAAAAATATCCCTAGTCTAAGACACAATTTAATGTTGTTGTTTTTATACCAACAAAACAAAACCACTGCTCACATTATTTGCATTATACTTACTCAGGAAAATTGCTCGACTGCCAAAAAATGAATATTATTATAGAACTTCTATAGATGAACACACACGTTTTGAACGGTAATTATTTACAGCTCTTTACTACAAAGACTCAACATCTATATTGAATATTTCCTTTAAACTATAAAAATGATAATCACACTGGCAGAATTTTAAACTCTTAAAATTCAGTGTGTATAAACTCATCCTGGGAGTTTACATTAATTTTTTTAAATTTCTAATAATTTATTAAAGTATTATTCTTGATTTAGGAATAACTTACAATTTAGCAATTTTGAATAGATACTATAGTGATTTCCCCCCATCTCTCCCTTCCCCCATCCCTGAAGTGTCACCATTATTCAGAGAAAAACCACAATACAGAAAACTTAATTATTCCCTAACTAAGACTTTGCCAAAAGGAAGATTACATGCCAAAAACAAAACTGAGGAAACCAAAGAGTTAGTTTCTATTAGTCACAAACACAGAGGAATCCAGTGAAGCACACATTTTCCATCCAAGGCCCCTCTCCTGGGCGCTCTTCCCCACTCACTTGGTCTCAATCAGGATGTCAGCATTGGTTGGATTCAGCACAGCTTTACATATCAGTTCCTGGGTAACTGGGATCGATTTGTTCATTGAGACACAGAGGTCAGAAAGGTAATCTAAGAATCTGTCAAGAAACAAAACGTTGTCTTGTGATACAGCAGAACTACGACTCTCAGAGCCTGGCTTTATGTCAAGGGGTCAGATCCCACGTATCTTTAGCAAAACCAGCCAGCAACATTTTACATCTTGGTGCCAGTGTGTGAGGGTACCACTAGGAACCTAGCTGTCAAAGAAAAAAAAGAGCCAAAGAGGAATGATGGCAGTGATAGGGCAGGGGCAGGAGAGAAAGGAGATAAGAACAAATAGCAAAACAAGGGAGAAGTGGGCATTAGGAAGGAATGTTGGAGAAGGTGAGACAACAGAATGGTTGGGGGCTAGGTTCTAATGTTCTACTGCCTGGCTTGGCATCCTGATTCTAATACTTACCAAAACAAAACAAAAAAACACCCTAAAACAAATGCCACTGAGGAAGCTCCAAAATACGGCGACCCTGTGTGTATCAAGAGTAAAACTGTGTTCCATTTCCTCTGGCTGTAATGTTTGAGTAGAAAGTCAGGCCTTTCTTTCCGACCAGCCTTTGGTGGATTGGAGCCTTCAACTTTGCAGTTTGAAGCTGATATTCATTAGCTGTGTGCTGATTTATACTGCTAGTTGGGAAAATTAGGTAACTTCGCTCTGCTTCAGTTTTCTCATCTACAGAGCAGTCATGAGGATTAAAAATTCATAGCTCACTTCCTGGGACATGATATGTATTCTCCAGGATGTTTGTTATTTTTATGGATCGTAATAGTAATTTTTATGAAAACACTATCAGCTCTTCAGTGTAACTGTTTATAACACCAACACTGTAATTATTGTTTACCATTCCACCTGAGAGGTCTGGTGTAGACTAAGCTTTGGGCTGAGAACCAACAGGTCAGCAGTTCAAACCCACCAGCCACCCTTGAAAGCCCTATATAACAAGGGTGGAGAATGTCTGGCCCATGAGCCATATAAGTCCAGTGAAATCATCTGGTCTGGTCCTGTCAAGGCAACCAGAGTTCCAATCATCACATTGATTGTTGTTGTTGTTAAGTGCTATTGAGTTGGTTCCAACTCATAGCAATCCTATATAGGGTTTCTGAGGAGCAGCTGGTGAGCTTGAACCCCCAACCTTGAGTTTCAAACCAAACTTGCAGTCTAGTGCATTAACCTACAGCACCACACCAGGACTCCAGCCATAACATTATGGGTGCAGTAACTAAATATTTAACCAAACATAGCAGGCTAAAATTTTAAACTGATAATTTTGTATGGCCCACAAATGAGTTCATAAATTTTGGCAGACACAACGGTTCCCTACCCCTGCTACACAGACTCACTATGAGTCGGTATCAACTTGACAGCACCTAACAAGGAGAATAACTTCACCTGAAATGGTTTGTTGTTGTTATTAAGTGCCATCAAGTCAGTCCTGACCCATAGTGACCCTGAATAGGGTTTCCAAGGAGTGGCTGGTGAGTTTGAACTGCCAATCTTGTGGTTCAAACTGACTTTGCAGTCCAGCACACGAACCCACAGCGTCACACCAGGACTCCACTTGAAATGATATGTATCTTAAGCTGAAGGAGAAGAAAAGGGTAGGGGAATGAGAAGGTCTGTGTAAATGAAATAGAATTCACTAATATATAACCTAAGGAGGTCTGGCAGCATCGTGGTTATGAATCGGGCTGTGAACCGCAAGGTCAGCAGTTCGAAACTACCAGCTGTTCCACGGGAGAAAGATGAGGCGTTCTGCTCCCATGAAGATTTACAGCCTCAGAAACCCTGTGCAGGGTCGCTATGAGTTGGAACAGAATCCACTGCACATAATCACCACCAATATATAACCTAGTGTGGTACTACGGGTTAACGCATTTGACTCCAAAGTCCGTTTGAACCACAAGGTCAGCAGTTCACGCTCATCAGCCCCTCCTTAAAAACCCTATAAAGGGCCGCTATAGGTCGGAACTGACTTGACGGCACTTAACAACAACAATAATATATAACAAAAACATTCAGTAACAAGTTAGTTTGCCGTACATAGTACTGGGACAAATCTAATCTCACAGAAGGAAGGGTTCTAACAGTCAGGAGGTGATAAAATGTAAGTTATCATTTACTGAGTACCTACTCGTGCCTGGTGCTACACATGTTGACTGTCATTCTCTCTTGATAACTACCTATGTAACAGAGGGTAAAATAAAGCTCAGAAACAAAAACCAGGTCACTCAGCCAGTGTATATTAGACCTCGGATTACACCCTAGGTCTCATTCCAGTACCATGTTGTTTTGGATCCACATCTAAGAGCGTTTCAAGACTTGCCCAGTCAAAACCCGCCATCAGCAGTCCCAGTGCAGAGTAAGCTAGTCAGAGTACAAGGCACCCGGACCTGCACCCAACCAAGTCCACCTCACCTGGGCTCCCTGTTCTTCCGCACCAGGCTGACAAACGTGTCAATCTCTGCCGCAGTGATGTGTTTTTCTAGCAGTTTTCGGTTATTGTGCAGCAGGGCAGTAATGGTGTCTTCTGCCAACACGTCGTAGCCAATCTGTTTCTGCATGAAGCCAAACTGTTTGGCTATATATTCCTGTTAGGGAGAGGAAAGCCAAGTCACCCAGAAAAGCAGAAGACAATTATGATTAAGTTTAAAATCAGGAAAACAGTAGCACACGCCTTGGTGAGCACTACTAGCTAAAAGGGAGATTACAGTAAAGCATCTTCCCACAACCCTAAGGCAACAGCTGCAAACTCCCTCACATCCGATTTTACTATGTCAGTAAGCAAAATATACTGCAGCATCCTTACATATGGGTATTCTATTAAATGCAAAGCATAAATTTTAATCCAGTGATTTACTTTTTAAAAGGTCAGAAGCCGTTTGTTGGACTGAATTTGCTTACTAATTCAAAAGGACTTAACTGTGCTCTATTGCTCTGGGCTGCTGTATAAACACCAGTTAAGCCTACCTGGATATTTGGAACAATGTGACTCCACTTTAGTTTATCTGGGGTAAAAATGTATTTTTAAAATCAATTAAGTAGCAAAAGAAAGAGAGAACAGCCAAACTAATTAATCTCCTTCACGGGACATGTGGATACACCTCTGGCTGCTCCTCTTTTGGGATCAGACATCACAGTTCATGGAAATATTTAAGAACTTAGGGCAGCCTCTTAACAACTAGTTGTTTCTATTCAGAGAGATTTCCCTAATCAAGAAAAAGCATTAGCTTGCTCAGAGTTCAAATGGCCCTTGAAACTTGCTTTATTTTTTCATTAACTCCTAAATCCTGAAAACTCTTCAGGATTACACATGGTGAACACGGACTGCTTTGGTCTGTGCTTAGTAGGGGCACACATTTGAGAATTTATCAGTCTTCAGGGTCCCAGTACTGTGAACTAGCAGAGGATCCCTAAACACCACAGCAAAGACGACCAATTCAGCAGTACCATGAGAGACTGGTTTCATTTTCTCAAGATCCAGCAAAATGTCCTGCTACCCATTACAATCATCTCATCTGCAGATGGAAGAGAAGGGCAAAATGAAGGCTTCTGGGAATTACAGAACTATGGCACTAATGCACTCCAGGTGAGTTTAAAGCAGCCAAAGGAAACCAATCCAGCTAATGAAATTTAGACCCAGTAACATTATGCAAATCTGCTACACAAGACCTTTTGAAAGTGTTGAAGAGCAAAGATGTCAGCTTGAGGACTAAGGTGCACCTGACCCAAGCATGGTATTTTCAATAACCTCATATGCATGTAAAAGCTAGACAGTGAATAAGGAAGACCAGAGAGGAGTTGATGCTTTTGGAGGAGAATGCCAATAAAAGAACCAACAGATCTGTGTTGGAAGAAGTACAGCCAGAGTGCTCCTTGGAGGTCAGGATGGCCAAACTTCGTCTCTCATACTTCAGACACATTGTCAGGAGGGACCAGTTGCTAGAGAAGGAAATCATTTTTGGTAAGGTGGAGGGTCTGAGAAAAAAAGGAAGACCCCCAGCGAGATGAATTGGCAAAGTGGAAGTATCAATGGATGCAAACGTGGCAACAATTGTGAGGTTGGTCCAGAACCAGGCAGTGTTTTATTCTGTTGTGTATAGGGTCACTATGAGTCAGTACCAACTCCATGGCACCTAACAACAAATTATACATAAGGAGCACTTAGCTGCTAACCAAGAAGTCAGTGGTTCAAATCCACCAGTCACATCATGGGAGAACGTCTACTTCCATCAAGATGTATACTCTTGGAAACACCATGGGCACTTATACTTATTCTGCAGTGTTGCTATGGTGGTGGTAGTTATGTGCCGTGGAGTCGGTTCCTACTCATAGTGACCCTGTACAGGGTTTCCGAGGCTGTAAATCTTTACGGGAGCAGAAAGCCTCATCTTTCTCACACAGAATGGCTGGTAGTTTCGAACTGCGGCTGGTAGTTTCGAACTGCTGCTGGTAGTTTCGAACCTTGCGGTTCACAGCGCGATTCCTAACCACCACACTACCAGAGTTTGCTATAGAGTTGCTATTATTTGGAATCAACTCAATATCATTGGGTTGGTGGCTTTCTTTGACTACTGTTAAGTACCACAAAGTTGGTTCCTACTCACAGCAACTCGGGTTAGCAGCCCAAGGCATAACCAGTAAGCAGCCAGAGTGCCTTGTTTATCTATCTGAGGAAGCTTCAAAAAGTATAAGGTTTTCGAGGAGCAGCTGGTAGGTTTGAATCTCTGATCTTGAGATTAGCAATCCAATGTTTGTCTTACAGTACCACACCTCCTTTTGTTGGTTAGTATCATACAAATACCATATTATACAATCAACAACAAAGGCAAAGGCATTAGCTTATAAGAAACTAATATAAATGTACTATCAACTTCAAAATCAAGAACATGATTGCTAAACTATAACTCTCAGTCTCTTTCCATCCAAAACAAAAAAGGAAGAAGAAAACCAAAGACTAAAGAAACTCGTTTTTTTTAAATCCCAAACCAACGAAACTTGTTTAAAGGACTAACAGTCTACATGAACCATGGCCTCATAATCTAGACCAAAAGAACTAGATGGTGCCCAGCGACCACTAACAACCATTCTGATCAGGATCTCAAGAGATAGATCCTGAAAATTAATGTTTTTGTGTGCTTTTGAGTTGGTTCCAACACATAGCAACCCTGCATAGGATTTCTAAAGCTGTAAATCTTTTTGGGAGAAGATTTTTATCTTTTCTTTTTTCCCCCATGGAGTGGTTGGTGGATTTGAACTGCTGAGCTTTTGGTTAGCAGCCCAATGCATAACTTATTATGCTACCAGGGCTCCTTAGATCCTGATAGATGGGAAGAAAAATATGGAAGAGAACTGAAATTCTTATGTCCAGACTTAGTAGATTAGTTGAGATTAGAGGACTCCCTAAGGCTATCACTCTGAGATACTCCATAAAGTTTGAACTGAAATTACACCCTGACATCACCTTTTAAGCTAAATAAAAGACTGACTCACAAAATAAAGAATGCTGCCAGTGAGTACTCAATTATCTTTATAAAATCATCTATCTGAGGCCAAATGGTCAATAATGACTCTAAACCTAAAATGGAAGAGTAGGAAGACAAAGAGACCAGATTAGTGAACACAAACCATCCAAAATGGAATTAAGAAGAATGGCGGCACACTGTGAGAAATGTCACTGTACCAATGTCACTGAACAATTTAGTGTAGATTATTAAATGGGAACCTAATCTGTGTAAAGGTTCACTGAAAACAAAATAAAATATTATTTTCCAAAAACTTGGTTGATCTAAGTCGCGTCAATGAATTGTACATGTGAACAATGTTGAACAAGCATACATTGTGAGTCTCTATGGTGGTGCCGGTGTACCGTGGAGTTGGTTCCAATTCACAGTGACCCTGACAGAAGCAGAAAGCCTCATCTTTATCCCAAGGAGCGACTGTAGACTTGAACTGCTGACCTTGCCATTAACAGTCCAAGGCATTACCACTTAGCTACCAAAGTCCCTTGTGTAGCGATTTGAAGGGGCTTCAAAAAGTTTGTGGAAAGATTCCAGTATTTTCCCATTTCAGTGTTCCACAAGTTTTTTGAAGCCCCTTATATTTTTACAAAAATGTTTTTTGTTTTTTTAAATCTCATGGAAAGCTGGCTGCAGAAAAAGGAATTTTGGGGTATCCTTCTAAGGCCTTCGTAATACAGATTTTTCCAGGGCTGCAAACAATCCGTGTTTCCTATCTAAGATCAACCTTAATACTGAACTATCCTCCACTAAATGAACATTTCTGGGATATTCAAACTTCCTGTTGAAAGCACATGACCTTTAGAGAAGAAAACAAAACCATTTCCTACTAATCCTTAATTCCAACCTGGTTCTTCCTGTAGTCTTGCTGTGAGTGTCTCAGGACCCTGTAACACAGCCTGCAGATATGTCGGAAAGGGGCGTGCCGCTGGTCCCCAAGCTCCTCCAACCGAAGCATCGGGCCATCCCCACAGTCTGTGAATGGGGCTTGTAGCAACTTGAAGATCTGTTTGTGAAAATAAAGATCAAATACTGCCATCACCTAGTGTTGTGAAAGGCTTCCTCCCTGTCTGGAAGCAATTTCCAGGGAAGCTGGAGGAAACAATCTTGAAAGTCTCTCTCTATCCCAATACACCAATGAAACTGCGTGTGATCACCAGAGATTGAGAGTTCACTGGATTCAGCACACTGTGGCCTAGCTGGTCCTCAGACACTTGATAGTCTAGGGCTATCCCAGCTGTATAGATCATGGTCAAGATGAACTTCTATTTTTTCCATTAATAAAATGGAAAGAATTCATACCACGCTCATAAAAGTGGTGACAAGAATAAAGTAGACAATGTAAGTGAAAGTTGCATGAAGTACTCAATGAAGGCTCCAGCCATTATTTTAACCCCTTTAAGTTGCTGCTATTATGAAATTGATCAGGGGCATTAAGCCAGGAGGCTATTTTGAGAGCCAGCCCCTGGAATAGCTGAAGCATCATTTATTCTTAGACTTGAAATCATTATTGAAATGTGATGGAGTGTTAATAAACTGTATCTTTCATAACTCAAAAAGGAGAAAGGATTTTTACATCCCAAGTTCCTATGGAGAGCTGAGTTTTAGAACTTTATTTTTCCTTTTCAGCTTTGGTGGCCAAGAATTTCCCAACCAAGTTTTTGGCTCAAGCTTCAACAACTTTAGAGAACTGTATGATTTGCATTCCTGTGTACTTAATCTACCCTGGACTTTCAAATCACTCACCTCTAATCTTTTAAGTTTTTACTGTGAATCGAGTGATAGTTTACATGGGAGAACAATGGATTTATACTCATTGTTTCATTGCAATGATTACAATCCCTTTCTCGTGCATCATCGTTCAACAATATTTGCTTCTATTCCCTGTTTTTTTTTGGGGGGGGGAGGGGTGTACACAAAAATACTCAGGAATATGTAATCATTTAAACAACCAGCCTGCCTCCTGGCCGCCAGCACACAGCCTTTCTCTTTCCATGAGTCTAGAGTCCTCAGCTGCTTTCTCTCTCCATGTCCTCATCTGCTGCTTCTCTGGATATGGTTGCGCATTCCAGTTGTGCTCTTCTCCCTTGATGGTCCTAGGGTCCTCTGTTCATGGACTGTAAGATTAACTACTCCCCCCTTTTTGTTGCAAAACTTCTACCTTTACAATTCTGACAGTCCCACTTGCCTCTAATTTATCTTTACACTTGTTGTTATAAATTCAAAGCAAGTTATACCAACTATGTATTTTCTGTAAAACACTAATTACCTCTTATGGAATGATTTTGTGGTGAGCTTAGGGGTACTAGTAAGAAACTATTTGGACCTTCTGAGTTTTTCAAATAGCCCAATCTCCCAGGTATAAGAACTAAATCTTAAAGACACATTTCACTTTATATTATTTTTTGAGAAAAATAATGTTGTCAGTTGATATCTTCTTGGAGTTCCTAACAAGTGAACTCCCACGTGGAAGATATTTCACAAGTGTGTTACAGACAACCTGAATAAGTCTTCCAGATGAAAAACTTTTATTCTCTCTAAACAAAGAAGGATCCAACTGACAAAGCCTACTACCACAAGTGCCGCTTCCCACTGACCTGCTTGAGAATATTCTGTTCTCTCATCAGCTTCTGCCGTTCTCTGTTAGGCTTGGAGAAGACCACTTCAAGTACATCTTGACCAGAGTTAGTTCCACCAGTGACAAAGTAAACCAAGTCTTCCAGCAGTTTGGTTACAGACCTTAGGTGGGAATAAGCTATTAAAGATGGGAAGTGTCCAGTATCCAACAAGTTGAAAACTTCAAATTAAAGTATTCAGAACTGATGAAGCAGTCTTTCCAATTTCCTCAAAATTGCCCACAGAGGCCAAATACCAGAATGCATAAAATATAAGCAACACATTACTATTCATGAAAGATTTTTCAAATTCATAAAGTATTAGCCATCCACTTTTATCTCAGAATAGCCTTGAATGCTGATATTTAATAATGTGATACCAGAGTTGGAGATAGACATAGAGAGAAAGAAGTAGATTTCTACAACTTAAGGACATTCAAAATGTGAAGGAAGTGATACTGTATGATAAGCAGTGTAATGCTAACTACAAGGTCAGAGGTTCAAACCCAGCAACTGCTCCTTGGAAACCCTATACATGGTGGGTCTGAGTTAGAACTGAGTCAACAGCACTTAACAACAACAACATCAATGCTAAAGTGAATACATCATAACATACTACATTAAAGAAAAGGGGTTCTCACAGCTACCAACCCGAACTAGTATATTTCTCCTCCTTAAGGAAATACATACATAAAAGCTAAGGAGTCCTCATGTTGTTGGATAAGCACTGGATCTCTAACCACAAGATCAATGGTTCAAGCCCACCAGCCACTCCTCAGAAACCCTATACAGGGTCACTATGAGTCAAAACTGACTTGACAGCACAAACAACAACATAATTGCTAAGACCCAGGTATAGCTCTAAGACAGAGTTGTTCAGAGTTGGATTTCTCTCACTCTGTGAGGGATTTTCAAAATACAGTGGTGAGAATCACTGTGCCTTAAATCATCTAGGAATTTCTTACCTTCTTTCATTCTGGGTGATGGTACCTTTCTCCAGCTTCCCAGCTATGGAGCCCAGTACCTTGCTGGCGTCATTGGCAAAATCTAGGTCTCGAACCTCAGCAGGAGAAACTGGAACTATGGCAAACGCTTCCTTATCCTCCTTCACAGGGGAGGTGCCAATCTGAAATTCAAGATGATCTTTGTGGGGCAGTCTTTTAGATTGAGCGGGTCAGCCCTTGGTCATATTCAATATTCACAGGATGTTGGGCAGTCTAAAAAGGTGCTATCTTGCAGTTAAAATCAACTAGACAGAGAGAGACATCTGGAGGGATGCACACCAAATTGTTATTAGCTCTGGGGAGCGGAGAGTAAAGGAAGATCCACTATATTTATGGCTTTTCCACATCTGAACTGCTTTACTCTGTTACAGGGAACATGCAAGACTCTTACAATTAAAAGGGAAAACATGTATAAATACAAGGAGGCTTCCAAAAGTTCATGGAGCATTGAAATGAAAAGATAATGGAAATTTTCCAAAGATCCTATATATATATATGTTGTTGTTGTTGTTAAGTGCCATCGAGTCGGGTCCGACCCATAGCGACCCTGTACAGGGTTTCCGAGGGTGTAAATCTTTACGGGAGTAGAAAGCCTCATCTTTCTCCCGCGGAGCAGCTGGTAGTTTCGAACCGCTGACCCTAAGGTTCGCAGCCCGATTCGTAACCACTACGCTACCAGAGCTCCTTATATATATATATATATATAGAGAGAGAGAGATTGACAGAGCCCAAATGTGGTAAAATACCTGGTGCTGTTGTTTGTTTGTTTGTTTTAATCTAAGTAGAGAATACAAGGGTACCATTCTTTGAAAGTTTCAATATGCCTAAAAACATTTATAAATACAGATGGGAAAAAAAAATCCCATAATCATTCCACCAAAAAAAGATAAAATTATGTGAAAGTTTGCATTTCATTTTTAAAGAACAAAAAATACAATGTGTGTGTAATTGTATTCTACAAACCTAGAGATGGTGGGAAAGAGGTGGGTTTCAGGGAGAGATACTAAAGAAGTCTGGAGAACTTTCAAGAAATAAAAATATATATTCAAACAAAGAAATAATAAATATTGGGAAAAACCAACGAGACATTTGACGTACCCCAAGACACACACACACACACACAAACACACAAACATTCCCCCAGCCAAGATCATCCTTTAGACAGACATGAAACCCAGGCAAATCATTCTGCACTTAGGGTAGAAGTCATAGAAAACAATAAAGGCTCTGGTTATTTGAAAAGCCCCAGGCTTGCTTCCCCAGGTTCTTTAGAGATAATTTTTTCATCACATTCAAATTTGGTTATCACTGCAAGTTTGCCAGACAACAAAACTTCACAGCTCTATCTTCCCCAGTCTGCCCTCAACAGAACCTTTCATTCATGAGCATGAGGCCCAAGGCAGTGGCCAAGTTCCTAACTTACTTTCAACATCACAGGTTTCTCTTCTTCCTTGTCAATGGGGATATTTGTGCTGTGAACCCAGGTATTGGTACACAGGTGTCTGAGACGAACATAGGAGTTCCTAAAGAGTAAGAGAAAAAAAAAAGCTGAAGGCAGTAATATTTTAGTGTTTCTCTACAACCACCAGCTGGGAAAATATTCTACTAAAACAGATAAAGATACCTGAAGAATTTTCTGTTACATATACTAGACAATATAAACCTAGGAACAAAGTATTCCAAATCACTTTCTGATGTATTTATAGCAAATGCAGTTATTCCAAATCACATTCTGATGTATTTATAAAAGTAAATAATTCATAATAACTCAGTGTTATTGATGCTGGATTCCTAAAAAAAAATCACATGCTATGAACAAATCTCAGCACAAACTCAGCATGAGGCAAAGCAATAAGAAGTACTCACTGATCAAATAGTAGTAATTATCATGAGAGATAATTAAGCAATAATTTAAAATTACATTTAAATCAATGAAACAAAAAATGAAATTTCTAGAAGACATAAGCTAATATTTTATTACTTTGTGTTAAGGAAAGCCTTTTGAAATATGTGCCAACCACCAGAATCCCTAAATTTAAAAAAGTAAAATATTAATAAATCTTTTTCCATAAAGTTTTGTATCTTCTGCACAGCTAAAAACAACAATAAAACCCCACACATTAGCAAAAGTAATAGCACACAAAATTGGTAGAATAATAACCTAGGAATAGACATGAATAACACATTGAGGTTATTGATCTACAAACATAAAGGGCTCTTACAATAAGGACAGCATGAATACCAGAGGAGAAAATAGGAAAGGGCACAAAGAATTACAAAATGATCAATAAACCTGGAAGTATACATTTAGCCTCTCTAGTAAAAAATACTCACAAACTAAAACATATCATTTTACAGTTTCATACTTCATAGATTCGACAAACCGATAAACGCTACGTCAATGAGAACTCAGGGAGTCCTGTGCTTCATCAGTGAGAGTATAAACAGGTCAACACTGGAAAGGAGCCTGGTATGGTACACTACGAATGATGTATTTATCATGCTACTATTATCAGTTTTCCTTAAAAGATGAAGGCACAGATACAAAACAATGCACAAAGATGTTCAACAAAATATGACTTACAGTAGTAAAAATATTAAATAATCTAATGCCCCAATCATGGAGTAGTTAAACTATAGTACACACAAGAGAATATATCAAAGCTTTCTAAATTATGGCAATCTGTATATATATTTATTTGGAAAAATGTCTAAACCATATTGTTCAGTGGAAGAAACAAAACAGATTAAAAAGGCCTTATGAGGTTAGAAATGTAAAGGTAGACATTTTGTAGCAAGGAGAGGAGTGATTAACTTTGTAGTCTAGGAGCAGAGGTCCCTGGGACCATTAAGGGAGAAGAGCGGACAGCAGAACCCTACCCAGAGAAGCAGTGCTGCCTGAGACAGAGGCAGAGATGATGACATGGAGAGATGGAGCAGCTGGGGACTTTAGACACAGAGAAGGAGAGGGGCTGTGTGCAGACAACCAGGGAGCAGGCTTGTAGAGTATATCCTTTGGTTAGTTGATGATGCATGGAGGGGATTGTAACCATGGCAATGAAATGATATACGACAGGATGAATGTAAAGCTAATATTCTCCCATGTAAACTATCACATAATTCACAATAAAACTTTTTTTTTTCTTAAAAAAAAGGCCTTATGAGAAACCTGTCTGAAATGACATATACCAAAATGTCAACAGTAATTATCTCTGAATAGTTGGTTTTATGTGATTTTTTTTCTTTACTTATTTTTGTTGTTGCTATTTTTTATTTTTACAGTAAACGTGTCCCATTTTAAAAATGTTTAATTAAGCTTTACTTTTAAAAATTAATATAAATAATGGTATGATTCTTGCATTTAAAGACACATCGTTTCATTAGGCATCATGGTGATGAAGCTGTTACGGACTCAGCTGCTAACTAAAAGTTCAGCCTCTCCAGGGGATAAAGTCCTGGTAATCCACATCTAGGACGATGTGCAGCCTTGGAAATCCTACGGGGCAGTTCCACTCTGTCTTGCAGGGTTTGCTATGAGTTGGAATCAACTCTCGGGCAGTGCATTTGGTCTTTTTTTGTTGATTTGTTTTACCACCCTACTAGTGAAATCAGATAAATATATACCAAGTAACAAGAGATACACAATACAACGTACTCAGTTGGGAGATGGTCACAGTAACTACAGCAGAACTTTTCAAAAGAAAAGATCAAGGAGATTCAGGGTCATGGAAGTCTGTTACAGAAAAACTTGAGTGGGAATTTAAAAGCCTGGCTGGACTGAGGCAGAAAGGCGAGCACAGAAGTCATGTGTTTTAAGTGGAAAGCGGAATCGTGGCAAACCCGCTGGAGGGTTGTGGGGAGGCAGGTCAAGGCAGGCACATCTCTTCAGAAGACCTCTGCCTTTCTGCACTTTAACTGATGGAACATTCCAAGGCCAGCAGAAGGTAACCACAATGATATTTACTTTGATTAGTATGAATAAAAATTAAGCAAACTGAGTAAGAGATTAGACAAAGAGATTTGCATTTTTTCTTCTGAGTAACTGGATTCGTTTTCCTATGGTTGAAGTGTAAACAAAGTGTGGAGCTTTGTGTTTTAATTGGTGGATTACATTCTATAGCATTCTAGATCAAATTTCAATGAAGCCACAAAGGGCATTCATCTCAAGTCCTACTCCGGAGGCCCCTTCTGAAATGCCAAGATAGCAAGAAAATTATGAAAGACCTACAGACATGGACAATCAACTCAGTATTCATTTAAAATGTCTCTAATTTACATAGACTGAGATTTTATTAGCTTACTTAAAAGATCTAGACTTCGGCATTATCCCTTTTCATAGAAGCTTGGGAGAATTATTTTAACAACGACTATGACAAAAATTCCTTTACTGACAACATTTGCTGGATGTTCATACATCTACCCCTAGGTTTTCTGATCTTCAAATTACCATGAGTATACAACTCCCATGATTACTGCTTTTTGTTTCGGTAACTTTTTATTATAAATTGGGTAGAGGTTTACAGAGCAGACCATTTTTAAACTCCCAGGATTTTCCATGACTCCACAGAATCTGTGAATATGAGGTTCCTTTTGCTCCTGGCTCTGAGGTTGGTGGCCAACAGAGATTGGTTCAAAATTTAAAGAGCTCCAAGCCCACCAGCCACTCTGTGGGA